GAATATAGAACTCAAGACGCATAGAAACAAAAAATTACAGGATTAGAATATAATTGTAGAATGGTTATTCTAAACGGATTACAAGTGTGATCAGGAAAAGCATGGGAACACCAAATTGTAAATTTACCATACATCAAATTATGTGTAATTTATATAATAACTTATCTATGCCTGTACAATCGGTATGCTCCTGCATGAACAGGAAGAAATATATATTATTATTATTAACACATTAATACACATTAATATCCAAATTTCATACGCCTTCTGTCTCACTACTCCACATAATAATGGTTTGATGCAGTAAAAAGTATTTCATTGACCGAGAGTAACACCTAGTACTCAGCAGAGGTATAGGCACTTAGTGATTGCAATTTAGGGAACTAATACTACAAGGTTAGCTTTTTTCTAATATATACGCACCTATCAACGGAATGAAAAGATAATGACGAATTGTTATCACAAGCATTGGATCTACTATGAAGGGAATGTTATTACAGGCAGACTTAACAAAAACATGTACAAGTCCTGTATTTGATTGCATCACTAATATAAGCATAATAATTGTACTACGGCCCGAATTCAATAATCTCAAGGCTTCATACCAACAACGTTTTTGGAGGTGGATGTATTGAAAGACTGCTTGGAGACACTGTATGACGAAATCTAGTAGAATGTCTAAGAAGACTGACAACCTACAATGAGGAAGACAAAAATGAAACAATTAAGAGACAAATAACGCATAAGATAAGTATTTTTGATATAAGTATAAAACTTGGACACTGTGGTATAGTATAACTCCATCATGGATAAGATTTTATTTTGATAAACCACATGGTATTTTACAGCAACATTACCTGATGACGTTTCCAGCACAAATTTGTTACATTCTATGCTTGGAAAATATTATACTTAGCTGGTAATAAGCAAAAAATATTTCATCAGATGTGTTTCGAATTCGCACTTGGGCTATGGGATGAAATAAACTAATTCAAGAGATATAACGAGACATAGTGTTAGAGGTATCTCGGGTAACAGGAGAAATTATCGTAAGATAATCTTTTCTTTCAGTTAGACAAGAACCAAATGACAAGATACGATTATCATCTGTTGACATTTCGGTTATTATCATCCACTTTTAACATTTCGTTATACCTAGAGTATATTTCATTCTGTCTGCTTTCCAACGTAGAAGCTTGCACACAAGTGCACCTGTTCGAGTTACTATATTCCAGGCAGCAAACAAGTGTGGAGAGAAAAGGAGTTAAATGAACCCCTAATGAGTATAAATGTGATGGAAAATGAATAGTGATATGAAAAAAATATAAGGGTTGCTCAGATAGGTGAGATTACATGGAGTGAAAGCATCTGTGTCATTAACAACATTCGGAGTCACATTTCTACTTAACACTAAGCGTAACTCCAATATTACTCACCATATTAGACTACTGAACAGAGAAGAAAGGGCACAGACACTGCGTTTAAAAAACCAGTAGTCTTTTCAAATCTTCCAGTTTCAATGATCACTTCTCACAGACTAAGTGGACAACATCATCAGCATACACTAAGTTGACGAGATTGTTCCCTGTTAAGTCCCAAAAGTCAACGACAGACAATTCTCTTAGTACATGTATGATGAAAGTGAACTAAGATAATGACGACATTGTAGAAATGAGCCTGGTATTATATCCTTCTTGGAAATATCAGTTGCCTCATAGCTTAGTTTCACTATTAAATGAATGGAATGCAATCTACAGATTTATGAAATTCACATTCTGACGTACTACTTTTCGAGAATCCTAGTTAATGTCTCCTCAGTAAAGTGAGACATGGGCATTGTAATTGTGTGAACTCAGTAGTCTGTGAACTGCTGCCAATGAAAACGACAACAATTCTTGGAATTATTAGCTATAATTTTAGCTTGATCGCATGCAACTCAGCAGTCGTTAAATGACCACTTGATGAACATCGAATCCATACAGAAAGCTCAGAAGATTTAGTACAACAAGTGCGCTCCTGATTTCACTCTGAAGTATGCATGCCAAACGCATCACTTTAAGGGCCTACACAGTTCACAAGTTAACTCACAACACTGAAGTGGAAAAATTTATGTTTGTCTTTACTGAGCTTAATATAGCGAATCTTGTGAAGTAAATTCCCTATACAGAGGAGAAGAGCAAGGTATTCATAATATTTTGCTACATGTGGAATAGCAGTGCAACTCGATGCGCAATGGTATGTATACGAATGAACTGAAAAATACAGTCCTCATTACCTTCTGAACAACTTGTCCTTATTCCAGGATAATAATTTCCTTTCGCCTATGGACCAAAGTTATGTCTATGAAATCGCAATATTACATCAATTAAATCTTCCCCGAAAACCAAGGCCACTTGAAACTTATACCAACAAGCATCATAGCGGGGATTTGCAATGAAGCTACTCGATTCATATTGGGAAGAAAACCGAAAACCATGAGCATACACTTTATGAGATTAGAGTGGCTGATACCCCATGCTCAGATGTGAATATACTAGTCTGTGCAATCTTCCGTGATCTCGCAAAGGTAGCTGATGCCCTTTGGCACAATCTCCTGACTCATAAAATAGTCAGGGTATGGTGGACCGCTTCTTTCATGATTGGAAAAGTACTGGGGCAGAGGGGAATTCTGTACCAAAATCAATCAACTCTGATCAATATGATATGGTCCGATCAATGAAGTTTCGCAAATTTCAAACAAATGGCCTGTAGTCTTTTCGATTTGGAGACTCTGAACTACAGCAGCCCAAAACGAATCTACCTCTATCGACCAGTCAGATTCGTTAGAAGTAGAAGTGAGTGGTTTGAAATAAACGTCTATATACAAGCAATGCAGTGTTAAGAAATGGTTACATAGGATAGTATTCTTGTATATGTTCCAAAAAACCCACCAATTTCTCACAGGAGTCCCCATAGTGATGTTAAACCGATCTCTGTACACGAATTCGTCAAGGCCGTTCACTAGGAAGTTTCGATTTGGGCTGCCATAGTTTAGAGTCACCATCTGTGTCAGTCCGTTTTTCAGCTGTGTTATTTCATAGTTTATAGTTGTAGCCGCCCATAATCGTCATTTTAATGTATTCGCTCGATTGCATCACTACGGCTGGACTTATTTATCACATAATGTTGAACTCCACTGGGAAATTTTTTTGCCAACAATTTTTAATAAAATTGTGTTATATGTTATCTAGATTGATGGAAATTCCCATTTTTTGGCTAGTTATGTTGGTGTCCGCGTCATGTGATCTGACTGCGACACACTTTTAGCATGTAAGAGAAACAAAACTAATATTGCAACACTAATCAATGTTTTGTTTTATCTACTTGCAGGAAGACACCAGGGAGGCAACTGCCTGGACGAGGAATTGCAGAACCTGAACATTAATGAAGCTCAGTAAAACTGTTCTCCCCTAAAACTGTACCGCGCACCTTTTAAAAGTCCATTCTCGCTGAATAAACTCTTTTCTGTGCAGTTGGTGTTCTGCTTTCATTACGGTGTGCCTGCTGGTTGCCTGTTACAAGCATATTGGTTGTAGAAAGAGGTTACAGTCAGTTTCTAGGTCATGATGAGTTCCTGCGTCGGCTAGTTATATGTTTTCGTGTATTCGTTTTCCATTGATATTTAAAGGTTTTTCTGGATGTTTTGCTCATTTTGCAGTGTGTAGGTCAGTTTTTGTCACTGGATGCTACTAGTTAGCTTATTTTTGGCCTGAAGTTCACAGTTATTATGTTGGTAGTCAAGGATTATGGTAAACCTGCAATCATTCTACCGTCATGGTTTTACTCTTGTGATTTATTGCATGGTAAGAACCGTCGACCAAGAATCGAACCATTATTTGGCAGCCCCTCGCGGGGATAATTTTGTGCGTCGGTGGCACAGTGGTTAGGATCCTCGCCCACCATGCACATGGTCTGGGGTTCGAGCCCACGCCGGCGCACACCTGATATCTATGGTCGGCCTGCAAAATTTGGGCTACCGATATCCATGCTGAAAATTCCATACTTGTACCAAAAATACGGTGTGGAATCAAGCTGTAAATAAAAAAAATCATTGAGCTAATTAACGTTTACTATGCTGATATAGTAACATATACTATGCTAATAATAGTAACAGTAAACTCCCTAACTATTTTGCCGTCGTTTGACAGTGAAACTGTGCGCTGGGTTTCGGCTTTAGTGGCACTTAATCGAACCTACTGGGTTTGCTTATCAACGTTGTTCCAGCCCTCGCAGGACATATTAAGCATGGAGTAGCGTTACTCCAGAGCGGAAAGTTTTGATTCAGCACGCAGCCGTCTTTTTAAGCACGACCTGTGTCATTTCAGAACATAGTGGGTAAATAAGATCTTCAGTTACCATAAGAAGGCATTATCGAGGAATAGGTTAGAATAAGTTTACAATTGTTGTAAGCTTGGAGGTGCTGCGGTCTAAGTGATAAATCGTATTAATCACCGTTATTCAGGATATGCTATGAACCGGAAATGCTCAGCTGAAAAACGTAGCAATTAAGACACAGATCGGTGTAATTTATAACGAACTCCAAATCGCTCTCATCACGAAACAGTCAACCAAAGTATGCTTTAAACTGTCGCTCTCAACCATTTGAAGGGAAATTTACTTGATTTATGCTGACCTAGTATGCACAAATCCCACAGGTCATTGAACTGACTACTTAAAAAAGTAGATTAATTAACACATACGTCTATCTATATGTGCTAATTAAGGACATTAAATTTTTAGAAATTGTAGTTAAATTATATTCTTCTAGTAATCGAAAATGCATACATCCTATTTTGGGCTTAAAATAAATGCATCAAAATTATTGTTGACTTATATTCACTTACTAGGCATTATCATACATCTCAATATACTTTAAACATCAACAATGCATCTAAATAGCATGTGACTGTCACTCCACCAATGACCTTGTAAGTTACGGATAATTTCAGTCATCACTGTCCCTTAACTTAGCGTTGAAATTGAACATGCGTTACTTTGAAATGCTTGCGTTACTTATGCCTTGAGGAAATGGTTTCACCCACTGATAACAATGACATATTCGGTATTTGGACACCTCAGGCGTTTGTTTTACGTGCTGGTTTGTGTTCTAATATTCGTAGAACTGTATGCTCTCCTATACATACACATATTTCGAGAAACATATACATTTGTAGGTTTAGTCGTGTTGTACTCAATTTCCACTCTTATAGGACTTTCATTTCACTCAGGTATTAAACCAAACTCATGGAACATCATTTCTGGCTGGGGATACCAACTGTCTCAGTCAAAACAAGCATTTATGGAGTGCATATAACCGCACGCGTTCTGAAAGCTGCAAAAAAGTATTCATAGACGTGGGATGCAAGGCGGTCAGTTACGATGGCTTCTCTCACAGTTCTTGCCATAGCCAAGGTACGGTCCAGTGAGTCAATACTTTGAATATCCCTAGTTTTTCAGTCTGATGTTCCCATACAATGGAAATAGTGATTTTCTACACACATTATAGTCGCTTCTAAACAGCATGAATTTTACTTCCGGTAGGGAATTTTATAATACTTTTTAATCACTCACTGTTAGGATGTTGTCGTGAAAACTGCTAACATGTGGGTAGTGAGTCGCGCCCATTAGATGGAAAATTCCACCCGATTAATTAGCAGTAGTATTTCATTGTCTATTTATTTTTTAGCACTCCAGTGTTTTAATTGTTACTTTTCTAAGTTGGAAAACTCTGTTGCTTTTCATATTTTCCTTTGATCTTGAAGAATTTACAAGGACATTGAAGTGAATTTTTTTCGCCACGGGGAACTAGAATTTGTCATGGTACCAACTATGACAGATCAACCATGTATATAATTCGTTGTTGGGTCTCTGATTTCTGGAAATATCCCGTAAGAGTTTCACTGGATTTTTACCTCAGGGGTATTTGAATAGTCTGATAAATTAACGTATTCCGGTAGATTAAAAAAATAAAAATGTGATGACACTACAGTAGTACCTAACTGTGAGAAGATAAGATAATTAAACAAACTTGAAGATTATCAAAAGTGAATTCATATGAACCATATAGGTCAGTTCTGATCAGTGTTATCAATAGTAGACAACCGTGCCATCTACACTAGCGAAGGGTTTCATGAATTAATGCCATCTTTCGTTATGATCAAGCATAACTCTTTGCGAACATAATCTCACACCAGCTAATATCTCTCTGAGAAAGAAAGTGAGTCAAGATGCGTAAAACATCTATCCCATCTTAGTGGGTGGATCCTTCCTACTTTGTCCATTTACTTACCTTTCTTATGTAATAATATAAGTTATAGCAACGTTAATTTTTTCGTGGTTTTATCTGATGCATGTGACCAGAAACGTGTCTTTCAGTTTTCATGTCTCTTAAGTGTAAGCAGTAATGAAATGTAGTAATCATTGATAGTCACGATATCGTCCTAACATAAAAAAGGCTCAAGTTGGCGGATGCTGAATATATCTGTTGTGAAACTGCTGGCAACCAATCTATCGGTATTTCACTGAGTCTAGTAGTCAAAATGTTTGTTCAATTCTCTAACCCTAACCCAGAATTAGGTGCAGACCAATCCTACAGCACCACCCTCTGTCTAAAGAAGCAAAGCACTTGCATCAGACATTTAGTTATTTGCTGAGGATAATTTTTGAATGCCTTCACCTAACAAGGTTGTTTAAATTAAAAAAAAAAAAACAGATAATAGTATTTTCAGTTAGTTCTTTAGCCCTTAATCTAACATAGAATTATATATACACATGTTTTGTATGATTTCTAACCAGTGATTATGCGTGGGTTAAATGTTAATTCTTAAGGCAGAAGCAACTAATAAAAAGTTCCACTAACAAAACTACTGGTTAACACAGGTATCTATAAAAGTAGTGGAAACAGCATCATTTAAATGTATCGATGAATGAACTGGTTAAAAATCTTATGAAACTGGATGTCGCGAAATGTCAGCTATGAGACAGTATATGCAATAAAAGAATAAAAAGTTGAAAAGCTCTAGCGGCCCATATATATTTATTGAATTTACTTTGGCTAAGGTTGAGATAAAGGTAGAACAAGGCTCTTTGTATACATCGACGAGAGTTATTCCCTCCTATTTCCACAGCTCCAACTACGTGTATCGTCCTCATATTTAGAATTTGTCATCTTTAACACCTAGAGCTTCTGCTTACAGTAAGTTAATTCCTGATAGCACCAAGTCAAACAACGTAACCTCCAGTAACACATATGTAATAAAATTAAATAAGGGCAGTATCATTGAGGATTTCTGATGAATACCGTAACTGTTATCACTCGGAATGAAAATGCCACAAGCTCCTACATTGCTACGTAGGTTAAAATAGAGTTCATTGATTCCCATAATATAGTTTACAGATATTTGTGTACGGTTGAACGTTTATACAAAACCTCTCGATCCATAGAGTTGACTGCCTCATTCGGACAAAAAAATGTGTTAAGTTTCGCTCAGTACGTATTTCTTTTGAGACCTAACAAAGAATGCAGATCTGCACAATGTACTTCTTACAGAACTTGATACATGACTGGTTTGCTGGAATAGATTTTCCCCAGTCAAATTGTCTTCATATGGCTGTGGATCCAATTGTCTAAGAGACTATTTCAGCCAACGTGATTTCCCTGCCACACACAGATTTATCATGCTTATAAACTTCAGTGAGCAATATTTTACATGAATATTGAAGAACTACCTTGGATTCCAATACACTAACTAGTCCCTTAACTACTCAAGCCAATAATTCCTCGCTAGCTGTGTTGTGAGTTAATGTTAACGACTATAAAACAAGGCAGTTTTCCATGCTGATGACTTCTGTCTTTTTGCATATTGTTTTATTCTATATTTTATTTCTACGGTATATTATTAGTATTCTCTTGGGTGCCGAGAAAACGTAGAGCTTCAACAGCACATTTCCATTTCATCCTGTTCTTTGTAGCCCTCTCTGACTGCCTCCAAGATTGCCCTCAGGCCCTCATCACACACGGTCTCTTCCGTGTCACACTCGACGCCCATCTCGTCATCTCCCATTCGGGTTTCAAGGGAAATTTCGTAAGGTCTTCCTATCTTTCCGACTGGCTTTCAGTGACTTGATTGCATTGAAGACTTCTGTTAGAGGACTGATATCAACTGGCAGTTTTGTGGCTGTTAGTAGTGTTTCTGAGCGAGTTGTACGTGATGGTCTGTTGAGAAGTCATTTAAAGTGAGCAGCCCATTTATTGTGTAATTCCCCATTTGGTAATTAGGTTTTTGATATGTATCCATATATATATATATATATGATGGTCTCTCTTTCTGTTGCTCTCTTAGTCTGTGACCATTTCACTTTGATGAACCTGTCTCCTTTAACAATGTATATTCCCGTTATAGTTTATATAAGATGTGTGTTTGTTGAAAGTCTGCCCTTGGTGATATATATCCATATAATATGTGTGTTTGTTGACATGTCTGCTATATTTTGCTATGTATATATGGATCGATACTCCATTATAATTAGCCAATCATGTTAAGACTCCATTGATTGTTCACACACTTGTTCGGACATTCATATATATTTTTGCTCGCACACTCTTGTGTGATTTGATTCTCCTTGTGTTTGGAAAATAGAACTATCATCGCAAACCTAGTGGTCTTCTGATTTCCGTCTTTCTTGCGTCAGGACTATTAAATTCTCGACCAGTACATAATAATAATTTGGCGACGAGTACATAACAGTTTTATTGACTATCATTAGTTCCATCTTTGTTGATCCCTTCCCGTATAGAGACCTGCTTACCTATTATAAAAATTCCCATTAAGTCATATAAAAGAAAAGGTGTTTAGCGAAGAGTAACTCTTTTGTGCGATATCATCCGCAAGCTATACAATCGCATGTATACAGTTAATTTTCTTTGCAACAAAATAAATATTACAAAGATTTTACATTAGAACTGTAAATTTTAGATAACGAATGACGTAATGTAGACAGTGTTAATTGTGTAGAAACTACTTTTTTGGCAAGATTCCCACTTATTCTGTAGATGACTTTGAAGTTACTTTGTGGGTTTGCTTGGTGTTCCGATTCAATCAAGTGTCCCAGAATAGAGCAACAATTCAAATCGTCAGTCCTTGACAGCTGCCATAAGTTTATAAATGCCAAACCAAATGGCAGGTCGATACTTACCAAAAAACACTATCAAGAGCTAAAGGAATTAATAAACAGCAAAGACATCATTCTGATACGCCCTGATAAGAAAATAAGAAATAAGATAAAGGTGGGGGAATCGTAGTTATAAGTCGTGAAGACTACATAAGTAAAGTGCTGACTATCATATTCAATGAGTCCAGATTCACAAAACCAAGAAATGAAAACAACATGACAGCAAGTTGAACAAAAACTAACAGATACTCTGTGAAAACTAAAAGCTGAATCATTCATCGATGCTGAAACCTTCGAATCGTTGAGGCCATCTGACTCAAATATACCCCGACTTTATGGATTACTGATAGTGCACGAGAAAGACATACCTCCTTGACCCATTCACCTTATCATCGTACTGCCCAATGGCTAGTAGACCCATTAGAACCAGTCAGAAAGCGAATTACCTGCTACCCACTCCGGTGTTCCTTCGATTTTGTCAATCCCATTGAAAACGTCAATGCTCCCAGTCAAAACATTCTCTCACTAGATGTGGTATCATTGTTTACAAACGTCCCACTAAACAAAAATATGCTATATTAGTGAAAATATTGATTTACAGGAGATGATGAACATTGGTATACCCACTGAATATTTAAAGGAACTCCTATTGAGACGCACCCTTAACGTCCAGTTCTCTTTCAATAAAGAAATATATCGACAAAACAGTGATATAGCTACGGACTCGCCACTTGGTCTGTCGCTCGCATACTTTTTCAAGTCAAAACTAGAAAACACATCTAAAGAAAATGATTGACAACTTTGGGTTTTACAAGATATACGTGAACAACACCTTTATTATCTCCAATAATGAAGAGAATTCGGGTAACATCTTGGACTTCCTTAATAGCTGCATCCAGCAATTCAGTTCACCCTAGAGAAGGAATCCGACACAGATATATCTTTCCAATTAACAAGACATAAACAAAATGGAACACGAAAAAGATCCATCTACAGAAAGCCAACATGAGATGGACAACTTACCAACTTTCACAGTTGGGTTACCCTGTATACAAAGCAAAACCTAATCCGTTCACTGAACCACAGAATCCGCAGGCCTGATACTATAGATGAGGAGCTAAACACTTTGAGGAGAATCCTCCTAGAGAACGGTTACCCAGAATCAAAATCTATGAAACTTAAACAACCCAAACCGTCCACACTCTCTGTTCCCGAGGAACTTCTCTACCTCAATCTACAATTCAATGGAGACTCATCATCAGAAATACTGAGAAACTCCTGTCCAGCTCACAGAAGAAAATCTTCACGGTTGAACTCCGATTAACCAGTGATTCTCATGAACGTGAAGGATAAGCTACCACTGTTGACTTCATCAATGCGTGTCTACCAATTCACCTGGTCGTATGGAGCTAGGTATGTTGGCCGTACAGAGCGTTTGCAATCCAAACGTATCATTGAACACTTACCCTCATGGTTTTATAAAGGAGAAGCTCTATTCTGGGACACCTGATCGAATCGGAACACCAAGCAAATCCACAAAGTAACTTCAAAGTTATCTACAGAATAAGTGGGAATTTCTCTTAAAGAGTACGAATTAAAGATCTTCAAACTGCAAAAGCAATGGCGATTCACATATTGAAACCCGGACTCTGCATACAAAAGAAGTTTGTTCAGTCACCAATCTACCGTCTACCTACCCAATGTTCTTCCATCACACAGGTTTGCTCACTGATGCCATGTAGTATCTTCGACTTTGCTCTAGTGGATGCAGTGGTGTCCTTCGTAGTCTTGCCTTTCATTTTACGAGTGTTGGACTTGAAATTTAGTCTATCTTCAGTTCTATGTTGAATCCAGACAGACAGACTATCTTCAGTTGCTTTGAATGCTATCAGCTTGAGCTTAAGAGCTCTTTGCCCTGGACAAAGGTATAAACCTACATCTGCTCTCCTAGATTTCATGTCCAGCAGATTGTCTCCATTTTCTTGGGATTGCGATAAAGTCCATCTTATTTTTGGTGTTTCTGTCAGGTGAGATCCATGTCACTTTGTGTATATCTTTGTCCTCGTATACGCTATCTCCATTCACCAAATTATTGAGTTGAGTCTTGCTGTCATCATGCTGGAGGAGATTGGTTCCCACTGCATGAGAGCTTTGATTGCTGTTGGTGATAAAATGATAGCTCCTTAGTACATATTGAGGTATTATATTGTCTACATAACTGACACTAGGGATGTACTGAAGTTCTTATTTTACTTGATATAAAATCACTATTATCTCAATTTATTGTCCGTGCCTTACGTGAAATCATTTAAGTTTAGTCAACTGATGGAATTTCATGGTTTGAATTTTGGTTCTTTTCTAAATGGGTATTCATTAGGTTCTCATTGCTTATAAATGCAAATGATAGGTAGAATTAAGCGGGAATAACATAACCTTGATTCTGCACGTAAACACAACTTAAACGCCTTTTAGTCCCCGAAGTTGTGTAAGTCATTTATTTGACTCTGTTTAGATAATTTAAACGTTGGGTTAGGTTCTTTTTATAGTGGTATTATTACAAATCATTATCTTGTCTTTGTATCATATTCTATTAGATTTCATAGAATTGTAAAGTATGTTGTGATCGAATTTACATTAAGTTTCACGTTAGGAAATAGAGTTGCTACCTGAAGGTTATTTTATTTTGCGCCGAATCGTATGCATTTCGCGTGGAATATTCTCAATGCTCAAATACATCGTTTCCATTTGATGCTTCAAAACAATAGTCATTCACAATCAGCACGTTTTGTAGACCGTTTAAGTTTCTACAAATGGCTTTAAGTGCTTCACAATATTTGCATAAATTAAGTGATAATTTCTTTGCTTTATTTTCAGGGAACTTAAGTAGGCAACCGTCTTTCGTAGGATGTTTCTTCGTCAGTTTCAGTGAACTTTCAAAGGTTAAATCAAGTGAATACAAGGATATGAACGATTGTTTGAGTATATGCCGTTCACTTGGGGTAGCTTATTCCTGGATAGGTCCCAATCATTCTTGCTGGTGTCGTATGAATCTTCCTAATCGATCAGAAAATGTATCCATCTCTCTGTGTTCCATCAAATGTGCTTTTGATGAACAAAGTATAACTCCTGAGAACTATCAACTTTGTCCTGATCCGGTTCCAGTCCGCATTTATGCAACTAGAGCGAATCCGCCTTATCATCCTACTCCTCGTAAGTTTCATTTTTCTATCAATTATTGACATTCTAGTAGAATGTCCCACTGATTGTTGTCCAGTGATTTGTGGAATGGCTGAGATTCTGCCTTGATGTCCAGATCAAAGCATGCGATTGACTTAAAATAACCACTCCCTAGCCTTTGACTTGATATCTAACCCACTAGGTGGTGCATCTGTATCTTCATGGATGCAAGTAACCAAAACCGGTCTGCATGCCATTCAGTTCTTTCCGATTATTCACCATAGGCTTCGGATCAGAATTTTCCACCCCCCCTCTTAGGTAGACCTCCATATCCACCAATTCAGTGGTTGGTGTCCTCGGGACGGTAAAAACCAATGGTTGGAAACAATTGATGACATGGTTCAAAATCGTTCTCAATGCATAGCGCAGATGCATCCACTCTTTGTGACTTATGATTTCCAATGAAACTATATTGTTCTTCGTTATTATTATTATTCCTTTGTCTCACACCTCTGTTTACTGTCGCTACTATGCATTTCTTCTACTTTCTTCTGTTGGTTTGTGTGCTACATGGAGTGTGGCGACGTGAACTACCGCACATATGTGCAAAGTTCTGTTTCGAAAACAGACAGCGTCGAACATTCCTATTCACCCTTTCATTTTTGTAGGAGTGCCTATCAGCCTACTTGATTGAAGCTATCAATGCATGACTCCACGAGAGCATTTCGAAAAGGAAACCAGCGTTTATTTACACTGTACCACGTCAGTTAAAGGGGATGGGCGTGCGTAGAAGTCAAACCAAGTATAACCATAGATTCCTTCTAAAAAAAATCCGGGCAATCCACTTGACTAATCAAACCACGTGTTAAGTGACGCATCGAGTTCAAAATAACAGGATTCGCCTACAATACCGTATTCATATTATGAAGTGGCAACGGTTGAATGCCATAAAATGCACAATCACTGTGCGCCTGTGAGATACATGCTACAACAGAAAAATCTACACAGTCATCACGTATTTGTAATAACTTATGATCTGGCGTTTTCTTTCCCGAAAGAATACATAAATATATATTAACAGTGAAACAATATCAATGCAGAGTTATTAACACTGGTGATTATCTCAATTTTCTTATATCCAAAATATCCTCCACCTACAATTATGCAATCATCCAAAGATCAAAGGTTCTCTCATTCTATTGTTATAGAGGTAAGCAGTATAAAGGTGGACACAAAAGAAAGAATAACAAAGAACAGATACAAAAGAACCAGCACTGCCCCCTGAAACCCAGTCTGCTTTCCCTTGTCTACTTCTGAATAAGATGCAGATATGATACAAATTGCTCTTGCCACATCTGCATCCACTGTTCGACTATATATCCTTAAAGGTTCTTGCCTTTCCTCAATATCTTTTAAAACGCAAATTTTGTGTTCGTTATTATGAAATCCTTAGATATTTCCTCTTCCACTGGCTTCAAATCTTATGCCACGGAGTTTTCCTTATTGTGTTTGTTGAAGATAATATGCCGACGAGGATAGAGGGAAATCTTGATTGGTGCACGCTGTATCTCAGTCAGATACACCACTATTGTTGAAATTAGAGAGAACTCTGGCACCTCCAAATGCATAGGATTTTTGACCATTTTAAGTCATGGACAGCGGTTGAAAATTAACTGAGATCGGTGGTTGATAAGCTGCAAAGGTGACGTGAAGCCCATGAACTAGTGGATTAGGATCTACAGGAACACCTAAATTATTACAGATTCATTTAGGTTTAGCTAAAACACCAAATGAATCAGTTGATTTCAACATGACTGTAATGTGTCTAAATTACCACTTTCGTGTTCAACAGATTGATCAGCATGACTCCAAGTACTATTCGCATCTAAATGTGTTGATCTATTCGACATTCGAATAGGTAGTTATACAGATGTAATTTCATTTAAAGAGGACACTTCATCAACAGACGATGATTGTTGTTTACGCCTTTTAATTAAGTCTCATCTGATGGCTAATCAGATGATTACTAGATGAGGTTATTCTCACTTGATTTCCTTCAAATACACCATTAGCTGATCCACTTGAACTTGTCACTTCACCCGAGCAAGATGATGACTGGTCGGTATTTCCTTTACGTACTTTTGAGATTCACAATGTGATAAGTTGTGTAATTACCGGTAACCGAAATTCTACTGTTAAATAAAGGTCTAGTTTAACTACATTTTAACAAAACTCTTTCGTCAAATATGTTTACTTCTTGACAAGCACCGGTTCAGTCTTTTCATTTTTCTTGCTGAAAACCACAGATATAGTTGCATACCGATTACCGTAAGCAGAAATTATTTATTCTTGATAATAGTTGGTGCTATCTGATGTCTTTTGAATGCTGTGTTTTACACTTTCTGTCAGCACTGTTAGTTTTAAAACGTATAAGTAGCCGAAATGTTGTCAGCTGAACCTACTAGTGATGCACTTTTTTTCCTGTATTGCAAGGCTTTCATTACTCGCACCCCAATATGATACTGAAGGTGATTTCATTTTCTATTTCGTTAGTTTTTCCACTAAATCTTATGCATTTAGGCATGTTTGAGTTTGTGTGTTAACTATTCTATTACTTCTAGTATTCACTAGTGAATCTGAATTTTTGTGTACACCTTGCTTTATTATACTCCATCTTTGTTTTGTTAATATGTGGTATAAAAATAGTAAAATATGGCATATACACTTTAAAATATTCATTGGCATTTAGCATGTTTAAGGGGTTAGCTATGAGTGTTACTTATATTCCATCACCGTTTTCAATATAATCGAATACAACTCTCAGTTTTACGAAAATCATTCACAGTAACATAGATGTCTTCATTCCTTTTCATCTTCCAGATTCTTAACAACTTCACTAATCATCATTTGATTATTGTCACTGTTTCAGTTCATGGATAATCCCCATTCAGGCATTAATGAAAACAAAACACATAGGATCAGCGAAGAGACTCTTTTCGGCGAATTCATTTTCTTAGCTGTACAATCGCAAATATATATATGTGTCATTTTATATGTATGTGTAAATTAAGTTTGTCAAACAAAATTACAATTGGTTATGGTTATTTTAACTAAACAGGTGAAGATTGGTAATACAAGTCAAGAAAATTAGGTGTTAATCAAATTAGGGTAGTAAGTAAGGTGATGAGTTGTCACAAACAGTTGTTAAAGGAAGTTATGTAATAATATGAGTAGTTTGATGAGTGAGTTTTACTCAGGATACACATAGAAACAAAGTAGATAATACGAAATTACGTAAGAGTTCTGAATGAATACAAGAGTTCTAAGCAATTAAAGAACAGGCAAAGAAACAAAATTAAGTCATCAAAATCAAAAAAATCAAATAAAAAAGGTTACCATGACAGAAGTGGTTGAGTAATCTTCTTTTGTACACACAGCTCCGGTTTTTCTATGTGAATGGCCAGAGCTTCAGCGATACGACGAAGACGAAATCGTATTGCCTTTGATGGGTTATTCTTGACTCTGCAGATTACTTTGAAGGAGGCGTTTGTTGAAATGGAATGATCAGTGTTAACCATGTGTTCAATTATCGCACTCCTTATTGCACCACTATTACCTTTTCGCAACCATGCTGGATAGTGTTCTTGAATCCTCTTGGATAGGGTGCACGTCGAACGACCGATGTACCTGGCTCCACAGCGGCAGGTAAACTGATATATGCACATAGAAGTGGTCAGTTGCGGGATCTTGTCCCTGAGGCTTCTGCAGATCAGTAGGCGACTGGAGAATACTATTCGTAGCGTTGCTGCAAAGAATGCTCTTCTCAGAGATGATGTGATCCTTCTCTTGAGAATATCACTTGCTAAATCTCCCTTGAAATCCAAGTTCATATAGAGTTTCTTTTTTAGGTGTAATTAAAGTTTTGTTTCTCCGAATTCTTGGTTTGATATTTTTGTCGATGAATCTTATTGGTTATCCATTTTGGATGAAGATTTCTCTTAGAATATCTAATTCTGTTTCCAGAACGTCGGGACTACAGATGCGTCGGATGCGGGTGGCAAGTGATTTAATTAAATTCCGCTTTTGTTGAATGGGTACCCAGCTATAGAAGCTTGTCAGTTGACTGTTTGTGACAACCCATCACCTTACTTACTACCCTAATTTGATTAACACCTAATTTTCTTGACTTGTATTACCAATCTTCACCTGTTTAGTTAAAATAACCATAACCAATTGTAATTTTGTTTGACAAACTTAATTTACACATACATATAAAATGACACATATATATATTTGCGATTGTACAGCTAAGAAAATGAATTCGCCGAAAAGAGTCTCTTCGCTGATCCTATGTGTTTTGTTTTCATTGTTATCTGTGTCACATGCACGTAACGCCTTCATATTATTAATATTATTATTATTATTATTCGATGTATTTGTGTACGACATTCCACGTTTATTTGTCAATTGTAATTAGTTCAACAGCTGTAACACATCTGGCCTCACGCATAATGTATCTGATTACACCAGTAAGATAATTTATGGCTCATTTCATATTTTTGAACCACAATTTGGACCACCACACTTTTTGTAAACGTAGTCTATGCAAATTTGACTTTAAATTCACTTTTTATGAAATCTTGGGAAGTAGGTGGACAGTAGTAGATTTCAACTCCTTTATTTTGTTACTTTTTAGTTCCTCTGAAATCTGGTCTTGTCGATCTGGTGTTAAAAAAACCAATTAGAATAGTCTACCTACTTGTGTGGAATGGTAGAAGTTGGCTGCATATCCGTCGAATGTTCAAGCTCATATATCACACTCGACATTATTATTACATCCATGTGGACTCGGTTAGTAATGATTGTCTAGAAATTCTTTTTTCTTTAAATTCAGCAGTGAGACAGGTTGTTCATATGCGTTTGTTCCGTGTATATGGTAATTCTTATGATTGAGATATACGGTTTCTTATTTGAGATTATATCTGCATGTTTTGTGGCTTGTGTTCACATATCAAATGACTGGTGGGATTGAGATTTCGGTGTTTATTGTACCCTCCTTCTTGAACTGAGTATGGTCAGATTTAATTGGGAATTTGTTTTAACCTCTAGTTTGTAACTAGATAGTATATGGATGTAGACTGAATTTGGGGCTTAATTGCTGGTTACTCTGTCGCTTTCTATAATAAGTGTTGTGTCCCAGCTCAATTACCTGGAATAGTTTTTGCATTTACCAAGCTAAGAGGTACACCCATCAAGTGAAAGCGAGTGGTACTACGCATTTGCCCAGACTGAAGTAAGCTGGGTGGGACTCGAGCCCGTACCATACCAACTGGGAACTGAGTGCCTAAGCCAATAAGCCAAATCTCTACAACTTGTTGTGCTTGCTTTGGAGTCATCTCTCCAACACACTGAATTATAGATGTCAGTGATATACGACTGTGAATCACGAGCGAAATATGGTTAGGTAGTTAGCTTCAACATCAAGATGCCACTTAGAGTGAGTTTTTTTTCTTCAGTAAACTGGATGAAATTCTCATGTCCAATGATCTCCTTGTCTTCATCTCCCATGTAGGTGAAGTAAGTAAGATACCTAACGACTTTACTTCTTTCTCCTAAACAGAAAATTTGAAGCACGTGATAATCTTACGAGATTATGTTGAAAATATAACAGTCTGTGGTCATAGATTCTATCTATCTATCTGTTTTCCTTCTGATTATTACTATATGTTGTTTTAGAAAGTGATCTAAATCCAAGTTGTGAATTAATATCTGGAACTATTTTTGACTTCAGCGGTGTGATTACCTGTATTCCAAGGTCAAATCGTTTGTTCAAGATTATCCATCAAATGTTCACCTAACACCCACGCGTTTTTCTCCTGTTTGGGGTGGACAGAGCTTGCTCAGTATGTTTTTATCAGCGTTGAACGAGTTGTCCACTAATTTGCGAGATTGGGAATGGGATTTTGTGATCAATTTGAGTGAAAGTGATATGCCTATTAGGTGAGATTTCATTTTAAACACGTATATAAACAATATGTCCTGGGCAATATAGCAATATGAAACACCAATTAGTGTAAATAACGCAGAGGTGAAGAAATATGCTTCTAAGTCTGGTGCTTGCTATAACTTTTGTCACACTTTACGAGTCGAATTATCTTGTAATTAAATTAGTTTTAAAGAGCGCACAAAATAGTCATCCATTATCCATATATGACGTTACACTTCTGCCTAGTGGCACAGGTTGTCATATCTATCATTTTCATATCATATGTTGCCGGCTTTGAATTGGTCCACCGAGGGAGAAGGCTCTCGAGTGGTTGCGCCACAGGGTGATCCTGCATGCCGGTCTCGTCTCGCAAGAAGCAGGGATGGGTGTGTTTGGTTCTCTTGAAAACCAATACCCAGTCAATGGGTGTATCTGTGTGTCGGTGGCACAGCGGTTATGACTCTCGCCGATCATGCACATGGTCTGGGGTTCGATCCCCTGCCGACGAACACTTGATATCTATGTTTGGCCTGCAAAATTTGGGCTACCGATATCACATGCTGAAAATTCTATACGTGTACCAAAAATACGGTGTGGAATCAAGCTGTAATCAAAAATCAATAAAATTATATAGAGAGCAAAAGCAGTTAAAATAAGATTGTCAGAAATCGTAAATACTATATGACTAATGTTAACAGTGGCTAATTTATTTAAAGAATTCACTTCCTACAAGTGGGTCAGTGGTCTGGACATTAATTCAGCTAACTGGTACTGGAGGGGGAGGGGTAGCCAAATATCTTTCAAAAAATATGTTTGATTGTGTAAAGCTAATCAAAATAACTTAAGTTGGATTCCGGTTGACAACGAGCAGTGAGTTTAGTAACGAGGAAAGATAAAGTGAAGTGAAACTGTTTTTGAAGCAGAAAGCAAAAGCAATGCTTGTTGCTCAAGAAAGAAGAAAAAACACCTTAATGACTTCATATTCATGCCCATTCAGGAGTACAAATTCACTGTACACTAGTATATTGTTTATACTGTTATTGTAGTCGCTTTTATGCTTATCAGTATACAAATCATCTTCGTGATGTAGTAGACCCTTTTGGGATAATAATTTTGAATACCACCAGATAGATACACACTAAGCAATTATCAGTCGGGACAACTGAACTATACTGGGCTAGTTTTTATTGAAAAGAAAGATTTGCAAAATATCTTCTATGAATACATCGTGAATGTGTATTTTATTATCATTCTGACGAAAGTATGAGCCTGTGAATATACAAATTTTCTTTTTTTTTCTTTATTTATACAGGCCTCATCATGAGCTGGTTACCTATTTAAGTCACAACAAGGATAAAATTTTTCTTCGTTCATTTAGTCATACCGGACAAAGGTGATTTATCATTTATATATATATATATATATATATATTACTCAAACCACGCTTATTCTGCACATCCGCGAATTTGTAAGAGGTCAAATTCAGAGCCTTCAGGTTGCATGGTGGAAACTTTTCCAATCATCTGAAGGGTTGTAATTCCATGGCTTTTCAATCCCTAGATCCCAGTCAGCTCTAAAGGACATGCGTGAAGGTGGTGTAGATCTGCTCCCTGAAGAGGGACTTTTTGACCTCGAGTATGTAGATGATATCGTCTTACTGTGCGATAGCTTGCAGGCTGCCCAAATCTCACTTGATCAGTTGCCGATCAGTGTCTATAACTATGGTGTGTGATTTGTGCCGTCTAAGTACAGAGTAGTGTTACAAGATTAGCGGGAGCTTGTATCTGCACTCACTCCTGCAGGCGAACCACTTGAAGTTTTCGATAAGTTCACGTATTTGGGTAGTTGTGTGAGCGCTGGCGGAGGCGTGACAGGTGAGATTTCCAACCGTATCATCATAACTATGGTGGTATACGTTAACTTGAGCCACCTCTGACCCCGTCGCGAAGTTAGCTTGGCTGTCGAAGTTAGGGTTTACAATACTTCTGTGCGTGCTGTGAAATTTGGCTTCCGTGCTGATGTTGTGCGACGACTCTGCGTATTCGATCATCGCTATTTCCGTAAAATTGCTTGCATTCGATGGCATCATCACATGAGTAATTCTGAGGTTCGGCGGCGTGTGTTTGAACACAGTGGAGATCACCATTCATTGAGTGTTGTCATCTTAAAACACCGGCTCCGGTGGCTTGAACATGTGCTTCGAATGTCATCCCAGAGGTTTTCGTACAGGTCTCTGTCCGCTAGCCCTGGGATGGGATGGGAAAAGTGGAAAGGTGGTCAGCGCATGACGTGACGCCGTAGGATGAAGGATATTTGTATTAGTTGATGCGTCACGACTCCCTTGGTCGTAGTTCGAAAGAAGCGTCGTCGGATATGACCAATCAATCGCAATCAATTGCAAACATGCTGCAATTTCCTTCTTTATTACTTTTCCGACAATAATTGACGAATACTGTTTGAACTTGTTGAGCATGTCTGCTTTCCTCCCAGATGAAGTATCTTTTCCGTTCTCTACCTATATTTTTACCTAGTGTCTCATATGTTGTTTTACTATTACTGTGTGGCGCTTCATCTTGGTTCCATATTACACCAAGTTTTTTTGTGTTTAAATAAATAATTAAAATGGAATTTTCAATCTCAGTTTGCGATATAAAGCCACTAGTTTCCAGAAACGTCATCGAATTCTCTCAGATTCAACATCTTAGTACCAGCTGCCTGCTTATAACTTCACAGTAGAAGTCCTAATGAGATGTGGCTGCTGTTGGGAATAACAACATTAGGTGTAAGAACTGGTAAAATTATAGGCATCAGTAAGAGACTTGGCCAGTACATTGTTAAAGTTGAAGTCGCAAGTGTTTGGATTCCACCGGGTTAGGTTAGGTGGTAATGTGTTCGCCTGGTAACTTTATCTCCCCAGATAATGACTGCTCATGTCAGGATCTCAAATTGGAGTGAAATGGCTGGTTGGTACCTTTCATTTTCCTACCTGATGTTCTTCTATTATGAGAACTTATAAAACTAAAATCAGAAACTATCAGGTCATAAGAATCTACGTGGAACTAAAATCATCGACCCAACTAAGTTAAATAATCCAGTAAGAAACTCGGCTACTGCTATGGGTTGCACTTGCGAGCAATCACACAATAGGGTAGGAAAGAGTAGAAGTATTAAAAAGTAATGTGGTTAAGTGGAGAGAAGTTAATTGCTGAATCTTTGTTCATCGAGCCAACACCGATTACATGCCACAGAAAAAAACGTATCACATGCCCTGGGTGTGTATGGTAAACTGCTTCAAAAAAACAAAAAATCATCTAAAACTAGATAAAGCAAGCTGGGAAGTCTTGTGATGAATATATTGGTATGTTTATAAATTGTACATTGTACTCGAAAGCTCATCCAGTCATGAATAATATATCACTGTGTCATATCAAATATAGATTCATATTCTATTAAAGTGCTCGAGTTTTACTATTATATTAACTTGGTTTGTTTTGTGAAATGGTCTGTTATAGTAGTGAGAATTGTAGACACATTTATAATACATCTCAGCGAAATTGAAATATTTTCAAGAATGGATTTGTAAAGATTTGATTTTTTTTCGAGTTTGATCTTGGACGGATATCATTTGGAGAATCATTGAAAGCCATCAAGGAGTACTGAACAGCTGTTTAATCCTAGTTTGGGGCTCATCGACAGTATACACCCACTGCACTGGGGTTCAAACCCAGGATTTTCCGGTTACAAAGCAAGCTCATATACTATTCAGCCACTGGAACCCGAATGAAATGGTTAATTCCACTATTTCATTGATCAAACTGATCCCAATTTCTACTGGGAAGGGATTTATTGTGGTGACTGCTGCTCTGCGGAAATATATTTACGTTAAACGAACCTAGACGTCAACTGAATATTACTCTTGTCATAAGAAAATATCCCGTACTATTGGTAACTGCTTAAAGTAACGGGATGTTCCTTCCTACTGTTATGTACTTATCGAGTAGTTAATAGTCCTGACGCGGAAAGAGGGAAATCAGAAGACCACTAGGTTTACGATGATACTTGTATTTTCCAGACAAGAAAAATAAGTGTCACACAAGTGTGTGAGTAGAAGGGTACTTCGATGTACGAAAAAGTGTGTGAACAAGAATGAACAAGGGTCTAATACAAAAGTATATTTGAAAATGGCTGATACACATGAACCAATAAGATAACATCTTACCATGATTGGTTGTAATGTCATATGATAACAAGGTCATACATTTTTTATTCAGTTAATGGACAGACAAAAGCATATTGTCAGTTATAATGAAATATCGATCCACATACACATAGCAAAATATAATAGACTGTCAAAAACAAAACACACATCATGTGGGTACATATCACCTACCTCGGAAATAAAAAGTTCAAACACTGCAATGTGAATGAAACCTGCTTTTCTGTTTCTTCTTTGTATTAAAAAGGAATCTGGACAGTGTGGCGACAGAGTATAATTTCGTCATAAAATAATTTTACCTAACAGCCTATAGCGACAACGTGTTATTTATTTACTTGAGTTATTTCCGTCACAGCTTATTCCCCCCCGCCCCCCCCCCCCTGTAATCGAAATACTCACATAACTTAAACTTTGTGTTCATATAAAGCTGTTATTTTCTCATCCTTTGCTGTTTTATACATACTGTTCCTAAAATATTTACTAGTTGTGACACTGTTGTAAAATATTTTTCCTTCACTTTTTTTTCATGCCTACAGTTTTTTAAGAAATCAAGGTTTCGGTCAATTATTCGTTGAATGTGATTCTTATGTTTGGCATTTAGGCGAACGACCTATCCCATCTGGAGTTATTTTAGATGGAGGTTCAGATTGGATGATACTTCCCAAAGTATTTGTGGATTATATTATTCATAGTGAGGATAGTTTGATAAGCGATATTAAGGAATACTTTCGCTACAGTCTGCTGCCAGTTGAGGTAAGTCTATAAATAACAGTGTTTGAACAAAGCAAAAACTACAGTTTTAGCAGAATAAAGTGGTACCATCTTTTATCTCGTTGCCTTCTCGTCAGCTGCTTACAGGGTAAAGACATTATTAAATATATCTACAAAAACAGTTTTAACATACTTGCAGAGTTCATTTTAAACAAAAATCTCACTCTATACATGCATACAGTAATATATATATATATATATATATATATATATATATATAATATTAAGCACTATTTCGAACAATATAATATAATATAACAAATATAATTTTTTACAAATAATCATACATAATGGAAACTTTTCAGCATTTCGCATTCAGATGAAAGAGAGATGAAAAAATATCCAGTTACCAGGGCAAAGAAAGACTGATCACCACTTCTTTCTGGACTCACAAATCAGGTTTCAGGCGCTTGATGGAAATGGCTTCAGCAAACTTAAGGAGAATTGAGCTATTTTGCTTATTGATAATTTTGAACGACTTTTCGACGTCCACCTCATGACCCGTGTCGATGAGATGCCTGGCGATGGCACTGTTTAAAGCATTTGTTCGCTTTAGACATAAGCTGTTTGGTACATGTTCAGAAAATCGTAGATATGCCCTTCTTTCTGTCCTTCCAATGTAACTGATCCCGCAGATACATGTAAATTTGTATATACGGTTGGAGTTATTCTGCTAAAACTGTAGTTTTTGCTTTGTTCAAATTCATTAAGGGGAATAAATGTATGAAATAGCAGTGTGCCTGACTTAAAAAGGTACCTAAGCATTCTGTTACTTTATTAAAGACTGTAAGACTTGGGGTTTAATCACATCTTACGATGTACTAGGGATTATAAGTCTTTTTTTTAATCAGCCGACAAGTGATTAGTGGTAATCCAAGACAGAATATGCATATCAGCGTAAATTTTTAGAATGACAGTTCGAGATCGGGTAAAGATGCGTTTGTTAAGTAGGCGATTCATATTGTTGCTTTGTGAGAAATACACATCGATGGTAGTTCAATAAAAGTTAAATAAAGTACTTGATATTGTTAATTACTCCATATCTGAGTAGATAGTCTTGAGGAAATTAAGGCTGATGATGTTTAAATACATACACACATACACTTAATATGCTGTCTCCCTTAGATTGTATCATCGTAGTGACTTCGATTAAATTCGTATGTCAAATAATACTATTCCTCACTGTTACATTTCACTAAACAGCTGTCAAAAGTAGCCAACCAATGCGAAGTATGCCACCATTTTGCGTAGACTCACCGTTTACTTATTCAAAAAGAACATCCAAGGTGTTACATAACTGCTGCATAGGTCTTAACAAAGCGGGTTATTGTTGATTGCAGTAGGATTACTTATGAGAAAGCAACTTTCGAAGTGCTAATCAGAGTAGTTTGGAGAAAAGTTTTCTTCATATCCAAAACCTGTGATATCTTGAAAATCAATCTAGTAATGGCCCGTGTGATAGCTAGAAACTGACCATGATCACGCAATGTGGTCAGTCTTTATCGAGTCTCAGGCTTTAGCATATGATTGTTGCTGTTTTTTTCATACTTCTCTTCTGTCTGATGTGTATTATATTTCCCTTTTATCCTCTTATGTGTTTAGTTTACTTTTTATAATTGTTCTTCTTGTTATGTTCCACCTTTATCATCTGTTTTACTACTTTGAAATATCGTGTAATAGTGTGTATTGTCCTGTTCATATCCCCGATTTGTACTAGACAGTCAACCTCAACACCGACAACAACAACAACAACAATATTGAATCGATTTCTTACCTAGATGAACAATTTTTCCAATTTCTGAAAAATGTCTTTTTGTTTTTGTTTTTTTTACTTTTGTAGAGTTTTTTCCATACAGTTGCTCAAAACACCCATTTTTGTACATCAGTCATTAATCATTATTTACGATTCATCAATTGGAAAAGACCACAAGGTTGTGGTTGTAAATATGGAAGTGTAGTTGATTGGTGCGGTTGCTCTCCACTAACCTTGAATGGACCGAAAGACGCTGAAACTCTGTGTGAATTAGCCGGAAAGTGTTCACAGTCAGATTACGGTTTACAACCACTATTTTTTGCACGTAAATTTGATTCAACTATTGATATGGGAATAATTAATTTCGTCATATCTAAATTGTTGACACGGGATGATATAACAGGTACTGCATCCTATTGTAACTATTACTATTGTTATTATTATTCCCTTGGGTTCCGAGTGGAACATGGAGGCTTCAACAGCACATTTCTACTTCATCCTGTTCTCTGTGGTCTTCTTTAGCTGTCTCCCAGATCGCCCATAATTTTTGACCTCCTCTTCACAGGATCTCTTCTGTGTCACCCTCATACGGCCAACTCATCGTTTCCCGTTCAGGTTCCACTCGAGAGTCTGTCTGGTGAGCGATGTTACACACAACGGTCTGCTGAGTGTGTATCCTATCCATTTCCGCTTCTCTCTGCACATTTCTTCGGCAATAGGTTTTTGGTTAGTTCTTCACCAGAGTTCCGCAATCGCGTTTTCCTTTCCGCGGTCGGCCATCTGTTCGCCAATACTAAGTGAAAGCAACTATTGATAAAAGTGATATAAGCTATTCACCACATTTCTGTAGTGAAAAAATATCCCTAGGAACTGTCTTTTACAAATCGTAGTTCAAGTCCTATGTGGCTGGTTGAACAAACAACAAGATAAAATACTTTATAGCATCTAACATTTGTGTGACCGAAATACTCTATTGAACGGAGACAATCACGCTGAGTAATTCCGGTGAATGCTTTATTTCACTTGCTTGTTCGGTAGTAACAGATACCATTTATGTAACCTTTTCAAATGCTCTTATATTTTTAAAAAAAAAGTGATAAATGGAGTTTCAGTTAAGCTGTGTATTGAATAGCTAGCTTCCAAGGATCATTTAGAATAATAAATCCTTTCATTTACTGTACAAGGTGGTTGTACAAAATGCTTTAGACATAGAAAATAGGTCAGTGGTTTTTGTTAAACAATTCCTGTTCAACTAATAGAAAGTTAGAACCGTTGCGTGAAAGTCCTAGTATTAAGTATCTAATATCTATTCACTTAACAGTTATGTGTCTTTGCGATGAACACAGATCAGTTTATTGACTATCAGTTATCACCAACTAATCATATGATTAATTTCCGATAAATTAAGTATATTTATTATTCCCTTGAGTTCTGAGTGGGACATAGGGCTTCAACAACACTTGCCCACTTTGTCCTATATTCTACCGTCCGCTTCACCTCGGACCACGATTGCCGTCAATCTCCTCACACGGCCTCCTCCATGCCATCCTAGGACGGCCCAGTCATAGCTTTCCACTGGGATTCCATTCGAGGGCCTGGCGCGCAATCTCATTCTTGGCATAACTGATATAGGTGACTGTTGAGTATAATGTTAACTGAAAAATTTAGTTACGGACCGAGCACTTCGGTCCAATCAATCGACGGGAAAATCTAAAATTCAATTAAATAATTAGTTAGGGATAGTTTGAAAAAAAAATCCCCGCTTTAATTGAAAACTTATAACTTAGTTATCTTTCTGTTGACTGTTGAAGTCTTTGACAGTGGATGTTCATAACGAACAATGACCGCTGTCTGAATACTAATCAACCTCTAAATGATTATCGTAAGGGGGGCGAAATCAGATAGCATTCATCAGTTGATTATGAGTCACAAATATTTAATACAGTTTATTTCGCAATTTCACCACACTGTTTCTCTCTTTTTAGTCACCTCAAACGATGATAATTACTACCTGGAAAATATCTATTCAAAGGAGGAGAATTTGATGACAGATGATAATCCACACCAGCAGACATTATTTTTAGCACTGAACTGTCTGTCTCGAAAATTAATTCTACAGTTATTAGAAACCTATAATAACAGTCATAACATATTCTGTAAGTCGTTTGTATCTTCTTGTTTTTGGTAAGAATTTTATTTAGTAGTGAAATAATTATCAAGTTGACAGTTACTATGTTTTCTCCTGGTTGACTCATTGACTTGAGTATTCGACTTTTAGTCAGTCAGTGGGTGATGGGGTGGCGTCCCAGGGGTTCGTACTGTAGCTTACAGCCTAAAATATTGAAGACTTGTTCCAGGTTACCGAGAAAAAACAAATAAACGTTTTCTAATGTTAACGGTGTAGGTATAACGTTTACACATTTGTGACACTTAAAATCAATGTATTCCACACTGGAATAAACGAAGTTTTTCTCCACATACTTTTACTGATCAGAGTACAATTCGTCAACTTCATATTGTTTCATCACTTTGATGCAGTACAAGAAAGAAGTGAACAATAGTAGGATGATGTTAAAATGAAAAGGAGGTAGAATTATTGAAAGTGTTCAGAACACTGGTGATAAAAAGACATGAATATGTAGGGATATGCTTTTAGACTTTATTATCTGTTATGATCCGTAATCTGAACATTGTTCATCCTTTGTTGAACAGTAGAATGAAGGTGTGTGTATGGAAAAAGATTGTAGTTTTTCGTTACTCTAGCGACATGGCAATTCATAAGACATGAAAGTTAAGCTGAGTTTCCGTGGTAAATCTGGTCAAAACAAGAACTAACTTTGCAGGATAAAATTATATATATATATATATATATATCACTAGTTCTCACCCAGCTCATTAGATACCACAAAATAAATGTCCTAAAGATCCAATGAGAAGTTATGACCGGTGTTGTCCTCCATATCATGGTCGGTGCTAGCGCTGTATCACAAATCAATGGAAGTTATAACTTACGGGTGACTGAATCCCAACCTGGTGGTTCGCCTCGTAACTTAAAGGTCCTTGGTTTGACCCTTGATGAGTTCGCTGGCGCGCACCGATGCAGAGGCCTAAACTAGGACGAAACAGCGCTCCAAAAAATCTGTATCGAAACTAATCAGAATCTCCACAAAACCTAAAATCCGTCATTTCCGTACAAAATATGACCTCAGTAATTCAAACACAGGATAGTAAACAGACAACAACAACAAACAAAAAAACTACTCTACACGAACCTTCAATTCAACGGAGATATATCTGCGGAAACACTAAACAATCGACTGTCGCGCTCACTTAAGAAGACCTTCTCAGCTGAACTACGACTAACCTTCTCAACAAAACTTATGATTCATGTGAACGTGGAAGGATAAGCTACTACTGCTGGCCTCATCAATGTGTATTTATCAGTTCACCTTCCCGTGTGGAGCCAGGTATGTCGGCTGTACCCAGCCTTCGCTTTCCAAACGTATCACCGAACAATTACCAACATGGTTTTACAAAGGATAAAAACGATGTCTTCGCAGCTCCATCTTAGAACATCTGATAGAATCCGAACACCAAGCTACACCTCAAACAAACTTCAAAGTCGTCTACAGATTAAGAAGTAGTCTTCCTAAAGGTGTAAGAATCAGACTTCTTCAAACTGCAGAAGCAATGGTGATTCACTTGCTAACCCCTGAACTCTGCATACAGAAGTTCGTTCAATCACTACACTTGCAATGGACTTAATCTATCTTATTACCCGACAAATAAATTCTACCTAATCTTTTTTTGTCTGAGTCTTCATTAGTATTATTTTGTCTAATCAATTGTAATATTTTACATTTTCAACTTTCTTGTTCTCTACCCCCACCTGATTTAATTTCTACACTTCACTACCACTGTTACTGACTTGATCAACGCTCAGTTTCTAGTCAATTATGTTATGTCATCCAACTTATTTGCTCAATTTCAGTTTTAATTTAAATGTTATTATTATCTCCCCCATTTCTACTTAGTCTCTACCTGTAATTACCTCTGTTGCTACTCTGACCTAAGTTGAAACATTTTAGTCAATTATATTACGTCATCTAACTTACTAACTCAATCTTACTTTAGTTGCTGTCCAATTAACCTTGTTTCTATATTAGATCATTCTTTTATTACCTGATCAATTATCTAAATTTGACAAACCCCATTTACACACACGCACACACACAAATTATATATAAATGCGATTGTACAGCTATGTGAATGAATTCGCCAAAAAGAGTCTCTTCACTGAACATCTTCTCCTTTTCATACAACAAATAATCAACAACAGGTTATTCGAAAGACACATTAGATAGCCAGTAAATTCTTGCCAAGAGATGTAGGGCTGAGTTTCTTCCGTGTGATGAAGAAATCAGGGATTTTTATCATTCTATAACCCGTCACTGAAGTATGAGCAGTTATTGATTATGTGGATTATCTAATCTGAGAATGCTTGGTCTCAGTTGAAAAATTAACCATAAGAAGTTTACCAGTTTATATCTAAGCAGTACTTTTATTTTTCTCCAATCATGATGCACATTTTATTGCCAACTAAACTGCTGTCCGTAAATCAAGATACTATTTCATTCTCTTTTGGTTTTCCATTCACATTAGCTGACTAAGAAAAAAATCCTTTTTTTGCCTGCTTTTCAGCTACTAAATCATTATTATTGAATGCTTTCGCATTGTTCAATGCGATAGGTTGGCAAGAGTTTGACGGCAGTCTGTCTAACGAATTAGTCCGGGGGTGGGTTGACAAACGAAACACTGTACCGTCACTGGTACTACAAATTGAGTTACAGAATGCAGTCGAAATGAACAGTGCAGAAGCTCGGGATAATTTCATCATAGAAATTCTTATTCATCCACCGTCGTTTAGTTTTACCACTTCAGATACAACTGATAGTTTACTACCCGGTGATATAGGCTTCCTAGAGGTAAGTTATTTGCTTTATAAACTTTTTAATGCAGTCTTCAATTTCCATTTTATAAAGTAATGGATGTTTATTGTTAGCTATCAAAAATATGAATCTGTGAGGGAGTACATATGAAGATTACATCCATGTGGAAACAAGTATACCGGAAAAACGTACAGAATGCTGGCTGTCAAAACCGCCAAACATGCGTTAAACAGTTGACTCTTTATAAGACCATGAAGCTGTCACTATTAAAATAAGCGGGTTACGGAGTATTGCCTGCATTTACACTTAAAATTGGGTTTACAAAACAGCAGAATGACGGCCGTATTGTAATATCGCTGATGGAGTTTGATAACTTGAATGGGTGTATCCCACAGTACCAAGTTAACAATAATGATTCTAAGTGAAATGAATGAATGATATTCGGTATGCGATACAAAATTTTCAACGCCGTTATATTACGAAATATGCACTCTATGTGCAACTTTTGAAATAAAAAGTAGCGACAATTGTAACTATAACAACAATGACAATAGTTGTAAGCTTTTGGTTACAGCTGTTTTGACAAGCACAACAACAGGAATTGCTTTCAAACAATTTCTTTTCTAGTACTTTCTTTGCATATTGCTTGCAAGTAAAGCATGGTTTCATAGAATTCTTTTCCTATGCCTTTGCGTTTCTAATGGAACATAGGGCTTCAGGCTTGAGTTTTAAATTCTCGGTAACACTAGTGCTTCTTGTCATAGGATCGGGTTGCTGGCCTCAAACACCAGTTTCCCCTCTTTGCTGGTCTTACCACAGGGTAAGCGAGGTTTAAGAGTGTAGTGGCCGGGAATCCATCCCCGAACCAAGTATGCGGTTGGCGACGGTTCAAGAAATATGGAAAGTGTTGAACTCTGGTAAGTTTACCTATGTACCAGAATCTGTCAAAGGCATATATCTTCCTAGGCTAAAGCCTACCTGGTTTTCGAGTTTTTGCTTGTCCCGAGCATCCATCAGTCTACGGATGATTATTGAACTTGGAATTTTAAATACCATGCTAGTCAAGCTTATCAGTGTAGGATTTGTCCCATCTTTTATTGATTGGGATAGCCAATGACTTACACTAGTCTAAGGGGACTATGTCGGATTCCCACACATCACTTAATATCTTAGTTAACCTAATTTGTAGTTTACCAACATCCTCACATATCTATGTAGTAATATCTCCGGGTTCCGTTGCTTTACGTTGTCTCATATCAGAAATGGCTTTCGCAACCCCAGTTACATTCAGGGGAAAGATATCTGCACATCCTCCATAAGTAGGTGTTGCATTTTGGGCAAATCCAGCTAGGCTGCTGTCCGGTTAAATTGCATTTCGAAGTGTTCCTTCCAATGTTCCAGTTGTCTATCTTGTCAGGCAATTAGACCATCGTTATTTTTGGAAATTTGTTTCCTTATCATTGGTTTTTTTACGACCTGTTTATCTCCGATAAGTTGAAACAGTTACTTTTGTCAGGATTATAGGAAATATTATGAAAATAACAGAAGTTCGGTATTCTCCGCGTAGAATCTCTGAAACCTTTCAGTAAACGTTCAGCTATAAGTTCTTAGTTGGTGTTTGTTTTTTGTTTGACATACAGTAGTTTAATGTTATCTTGATTAATGCTGTCAACGGCTATGACTAACCATTAATAGTTAGATCTGTTGAAATGATGGGGAACAGTTACTAACTAACTGACGCTTCTTTTTGTTCCTTTACAATTAAGCAGAACTTAGTGTAAATAGGTGCAAGCATCAGATAGCGTATCTGTATCATTAATTATATATCTATTTGTCTAGATAACTCTTATCAGTTTAAAACTTCTGAAATCTATATCTTTTTTATAATCTTTCCCATTTTTTCTACCCTTGTAGATTAGCTCAAATTTCGATGTTAAAGAACAAATATTTCGTAATTATCCACGTTTCTTAACTCTACATGAATTGCTGACTATTTTGATATTATGGAAAGGCAACTCGGATTATAAAATATACAAAACTTCAGTTGTATTCACTTTAATCAATCCTCGGGGTATTCCATGTCCAAATCAGGTGACACTGCCACTTGTACAAAATGAGCATACTGTGCGTTCTTTAGCTATGCCTGATTTATACATAACTACTAGTTTAATCAAAAGTACAGTTATAACAAATTGTGTTTCACCCGATATCAATGTTATTTCTGGTGAATGGAGTGTTCTTGCTGTTACTTCAAGTGGGCAAGTTAGTCGTGTCAAATTTCTTCTACTCGATTTGTTGAAACTTAAGCAGTCATCAATGCGATCTCAAGAAAATTCATTTGTAGATGAGTTGATTTTTGATTCAGAAGCCTGGAATTCTGTTAAATTTACTGATTTCTGTACAGTGCAACAATCAGTTAAGCATGCATCAAATCGATTGTATTCTGATAATCATACAAATACTGATGTCAGCATTTTTGCTAATCAATCTCATCATGATTGTTCCACTGTTCATTGGAGTTCTTTTTTTAAAGATTCTGTTTATTAATTCTTTGTTGTTTTTGTGATGTATTCATGCAAATCTCAGTGGAATGTGTTGCTTCCTTCATGTAAATAAATACTCACAACTGAACTCTGAATATCTCTATATAATTTCTTCTAATGAAAAGAATATGATTCTGATAGTAATAAATGTTGTGCTGTTTTTTTTTCTACGCCAACTGCATTTTGATCCCCATCTTTTGGGAAATAAATTCTTTTTTTACTCATATTACATTGTTGTTTATTCCTAAAATCTAATGAAAAGAAGGTTATTATTATTGTTCCCTTGGGTTCCTAGTGGAACATAAGGCTTCAACTGCACGTCTCCACTTGCTTCCTCCTTCTTCTGCTGTACTTTTCACCTTCATCCATGTTAGTTAGTCCATACTCTTTCAACTCCTCTTCACACGATCTCCTCCATGTCACTCACCCTTGGACGTCCCACTCACCACTTCCCTTTCGGCCTGGTTCCACTCGAGCAATGGCCTGATTCGCGCGCGATGTCACCCAGCGGTGGCCTCCAGCCTCAGCGAGTGTCCAATCCACTTTCTCCTGCATATTTGTTGGTTGGCGATTGGTTCTTGTTTTGTTTGTTTGTTTGTTTGTTCCCAGTCAGAGTTGCTTGTTGGTGATTCTTTCCGGCCCAGCCCGGCCATCTGATCTTCAGTATAGAGCCAGCGAAGACAGTTGTTGGTTGGTTGATAAAGGTCTGGTCTGCAACAGGCTGGCTGTTGGAAATATTCTTTGTCAACCGCCCACCCGCCCGCCAAGTTTCTCATCCGATCCGTATAGAAGAACTGACTGATTTGACCACGTTTGTGTTAAAAATCCGACCGACGGAATTTTGTTGTTGATGCTGGCTGAGTGACGAAGATTTCCTTCCAGATTGGTTGTTTCAGGTTGATGAATGTGTTTCTCGCTCGCCTTCCCGATTCTCGCTCGATTTGCATCCTCGTCCGTTCCGACTGGCTGTAGTTGAGACAATGCTCCCTCCCTAGATAAGTGAGTGAATGAAGTAACCTCTTTCAAATCCCTCTTGTTGATGGTTGGTGATTGGCGCTGGATGTAGCTGTTGTTGTTGTTGTTGGTGGTGGTGGTGGTTGGTTGGTTGGTTATTTTCATAACCTCCGTCTTATCTATGTTCACCTGGAGTCCTGTCTTCACTACCTGCTTCTTCGACCAGTTTGTCGGTCGGTTTTCGCTTGTAAGTCTTCGATTTTGTGACAGTGACATCAAACATAAATCATCCACGCGTGAAATCCAGGTCTTCTAGGTTCTTCACGTCAGTTGGTCCAGGATATCCCTCCCTGTCTTCTCGATTCCCACTGTCTGTACAATGTACCTTTTTCTCCTTCGAAAAGAAGGTACAGTGTCTATATAAAATATGTATGAAGAATGCGATGTTATGAATAAGTGATAATAGTGATTGTAAATAATAATAATAGCATTGAAGCTTAAACAATCAAATGAAATGGCTTTTAATAGACGTAAAGTCTTGGGTTCATGTTACACTGGAATTAGGGTGGCATTTAAACCAACCAACAAACTCTCTCAGCGATAAACTTTGTCTGTCGGCTTAAGGATCCAATAGATCGAATTAAGAAAAATAATATAATTTATCGAATACCATGTAGTGACTGTGAGGTCAATTACATAGGTTAAACTAGTGGATCAGGGTCAACTAGATTATTGGAACATAAAAATTTAACTACACCTAGAATAATTGACCCTGTTAAGTTAAATAACCTAGAAAAAAGCTCAGCCATTGCACTGCATGTAATCACAAAATAGGGTGGATGAGACAGGGTGAGAGTATTAAAAAGTAATCTAGTTAGAGAGAGGTTAATCACTGAAGCTTTGTTTATCGAAATGACGCAACGCCTGTACTGAAGATATGGAAATTGCAACAAACAACAAAGGGAAGTTGGAGAGGCAGAAACAAAGAATATGTATACATAATAAATTGGGAAGCCGTGTGACTAAATTGATATGATTATGAGCAATAATTAATGCTCAGAACGTCATCTAGTTGTTAATACTGCATTACTGTGTGATTATTAAAATAAACTTATGTAATATGGAATTCAAGTGACACGGTATGCGGAGGCATAAACTGTTGAGAATTACCAAAGTAGGATGACTCGTATTGTGTAGGTTGTCTATTTCAGGGACAACAACATCTCTGTTCAAACAACACATAGTTAAATGGATTGCTTAGTTGTTCCCAGTGATTCAATGAAGTGCAGAGTGTATTTTTCTAATACTCGGTCATCACCGACATATTAGTACGCTTCGTTACTGATAATCATTTGACTGCACAGACTTCTGTAGTTAAGAACCCTTCACTTATCGGCGCCCTAAGTTATTTTATCTAAGTCGACAAGACACGACTTCATGTATGCGTTGATTTAGCAATGAGATTCTATCTATATTCCCCAACCTTACAGCTTACATGATACAAATTGTTGTGATAGTACCTGAGAATAAGAAATGTCAATACCCTTACTGACCTTTTTTTTTTAACCTGAGATGAGATAAAGTTTTCAAACAAGCTCCTTCTTTAAAACTGTTCTGTACTCCAGTTTTGCACACTGAAAGGAAATGCAGATTAAGGCTGTATGTAGTCACCTAAAGAAACTGGGACAAAATTGACAGACATCAGATCCAGTCTGAAACACGGTGGATAACTCACATTTCGTCGACACAGCAAAAAGAGACTGGGTTATGGAGATTCTTCTTTATACGTATCTCTTCAGACATTTAGTAATATAACATAAGGTTAATAATAACGAGAATATTCAATCAAGTACCTTGAAATCACTCAAATTTATTAGCACTTAAAGTAAGCTGAATTAATTGGATTGCTATAAATCTTGAATTTCCACACCTATTGTTGAATAACACTTAACTTCGTGAGATTTTAGATGCATACTGCACAGAAATCAGTAGTCCCTTCAATACTGTCATCAAACTGCTGCACTTATCTTGGGTGTAAAATATCTCACGAACTAAACATAACACTGGAGATTTGTGGGACAATACTTTTCTCTTGTAGACAATTTCTGTAAGCATTTCTACATGGGATCACGAAAAATGAGTTTGATAAGTAACTGAATAAAATGCTTACATTTGTTGGTTGCCTAGTGTAACAACAGAAGACAAGGGCCAGGCAACAGATCGTTTTATTATGAAAATCAACACGTATTTATACATCTTTCAACTACATTATTATAGACAAGCGCAGTCATCTGATTGGTTGTTTAGGTAGACAAAAGCAGGCTTCTGATTGGTTGTTTCGGGATTCCTTGACAAATAGAGTTCTCTCTGCGAATCATATTCTGCCACGTTAACTTTGCTGTGATTGGTTGTTGACTCAGGCTTGTTCATATTTTCTCACGGCCCATATTAGTGACCTAGACCTTAACGTAGATTAGTGCCAACCAATCGGCTAGCAGCCTGCTCTCACCACACTAGTACACCTTGTGTTTTAAGTAGTATGTGACATCATATATCTATCATTGTTTTTCAGATACAAAAGTCGAAATGATTGTCTTAACCAACTAAATTTTCTATACACAACATCAGCTTTCTTTGGAGATTTACTTTCTTATTGCGGACTGGAATAACTATTTTCTTAATTCACATTCTAATAGATTCCCCGGTCTGTACCCAACTCCCTTCTAACTGAGATAGTATGGTAAAAAAAGAAAAAAAGATGACGTACACATCAAAGAAAATTTTGCTTTTCGACGGAATATTTTCAACAGCTGCAAAATTATTTTTATATTTGGCAAAAAATTCATATTGTAACAACAGAAGACAAGGACCAGGAAACAGGTCGTTTATTAAGGGAATCAACACATATTTATAGATTTTCATGTACATTATTATAGATTATTGTTAGCAGAAAAACACAGTCTTCTGATTGGTGGTTGTTTCTCACAGAAAGTTAACCTTGCATCTCTTTGTGGCTATTTCTTGAATGTCAGACCATCTATATGTTAAGTATATCCGCCTACGCAAAGCCTTTGCTCTCATTTTTCTCACGACCAATATTGGGGACATAAACATTGACGTAAATTACTGTCCACCAATTTTGACTAACAGCCAGCTCTCACCACAATATAACCAATCTGATACGCGTAACTTTGTTTTAGAAAGTGTACTACATAATGTGAGGTGTAATCTAGGAGGGGTTGACTAGGTGGAGATTAGGAAAAGGCGCATAGTTGAAATGACACAATAAGCGTGAAAAATGACTAATCAATATAAGTAATGTGAATGCTAATGGAACGACGAACGATAAAGTGTTTATATGATCTCCGTATAAAGAATGCGATGTTATTAATAAAGGATATTAGTAAGTGTAAAATACTAAAGCTCAACAATAAAATCTGATGAAATTATGGTAAAAATGTCATTCCTTCCACGGTAAGGTAGTTGAATTTGTGCAGTGCTTTTGAACTCAGAGGTCTGGCGCTACGTCTATACCCCTACTGTAATCCCTGAATTAATAATCCAAGATAATAAATGCGAAAGTGGAATATACAGTCGCTTATCTTACTAAAGAATAATTCCATGAACGTTTCTGTCGTGCTTATTCATTGCAACTTAATTAGGTACCTTAGTTTCTCCTAAAGCTGTAACAGCTGGATATCTTTCAACTCCTTTTGAATGTAAGGTAGTCCCCACGCATTGGGTTTATTTTACTGTATCGTCTACTGCAACCACTTTGACACTTATATTATTCATTGAGGACGTATTGCATTGTATTCAAAAATGCATTAATGCCTTCAATTAATATTAATCAATGCAAGTAGAAAAACAAATCAGTGCATTGCAAAATCACTCACTAGAATTTCATTGGTTGGCTAAACAAATAAGATCACCATGACGACAACGTACAAATGCACTGATTTCTTGTTTGAATTTCTGACCAGTATTCTGATCGGAAAAGTATAAATCAAGTCCATATTTAAAATATCGGAGAAGTGTGGTTTTATAAGGAGCTAAATATAAATTTTTGTTATTAAAAAAAACGAATGCTTACAAATGAACTATTTAGCACCGTTATGCCAGGGTCGTATAAAGCCTGATGATCTACCAGTCATCAGTCCAAGAACAATTTATTTTTTCGTTTGTTCAGCCTATACAGGTAAGAGAAAAGTTGGAATTTCATTTTGTTGCCTTTTCCAGTCTGTTGTGAAGTATAATTACTTTTCCGATGGTTGTAAAATAAACCTGAATGACATCCCAGTTGCGTTATATTTATCATCTTTGCAGTTTTATAAGTCGCTTGACACATACACACCTACATTTATCCTTGGAAAGAACTATTCGTTACTTTATTTTATTAAAACACGAATGTAGTAATTTATTGTAATCGTAATATTAGTATTTCGAGATGACCGAATTACACGAATCCAACCAAAACACAGAGAGGGCAGAATTCAGGAATTTGTATTTGGCGGAATTATTCTACAATTCATATAAGAAACATATCAACAGTCAACAGTAAGTATTTAAACAATACAGAGATAGAAATTATCAATCACCACAACGAACTTGGTACATTCTGAACACCAAGGGATGTGCCACACAAAATCTCAGACTTTGTGATATCACCCGAACTACCAGACCGACGGTGGGTGCCAACCTCCAAGAATTTCACTTAAAGTCTGCTCCGAAAGGCAGTGGGGAAGCGTCAGGAGCTACGTTCCCATGATTGCCAGTGACCAAAACATATCCTTACGCCATTCGGTCCTGTCGAATTTCGGAGCTGATGCACACGTTAGAGCTGCAATCAAAGTTTTCCAGCTTCCCTAGTTAGACCAGCATCTCCACTAGTCCGGTTAGAAGCGACAGATGTTCGTATTCGCTCATTCCTTTTTGTCAGAAACACGCCAGCCTCGTGTAGGCAGTGAACAGGCTTTATCTGGCAGAGGCCAACTGTTGGGAAAACCGAAGTCTACCCATCGTCGGTCGTATCAGGTTATTTATGTTCATAAATAGGTACTCTTTAATGTATCAGTTTTAACTCGTATGTATAACCTCTCGAAGTATTTCTAAGCATCGCTTCTCGAAGTTTTTTGTGTACACTGAGCACTACATACTATCTGAGAGATGCATTTTTATAAATTATATATATATATTCTTAATTTTCTTCTGTTATGCACTTGGCAAAGTACATGCATGCTTTATTTTCCAAAGCTTGTCAGATAAGTAATCAGGTGGATTAAGATATTCTCACACACTGTGAAGCTTACTCACTTAATTTACCCTAATAATTCGGTTGGTGTATGAGTAAGAATCTTAAAAGTTACGAAAAGAATTCCTTAAGCCTTAAGTTATGTTTCCGTAGAAATTCGGTTTAATTCCATGTCTGTTTCTCATAGATATTGGTTTTATAATTATGCATCTTTGATAAGTACTGGTTAAAGTGAAAAGTTGGAAGGGAAAATTCTCAATCAGTATTCTATAAAACCTAAACAGAAAACAGTTCTCAAATGCTTGGAACAAATTTTCCGTGGAGGGTGGTACGATCCAGTGACCCATTGGCTGGAAGTTGAATGCTTCTGCGAAAGTCACTAGCAGCGATCATCCTAATTTCACTGACAGTTTGGAAACAGCTACTTATATAATAAAGACTGATGTGATACACGTATCGCTGACAAACTTCAAAGACCATGTTGATATGGTCAGGAATGAATCGTGCCTATAGTAATGTGGCAAAATAACAATTTAAGCGAGGATATAAATTATTGCTAAAGAAACTTGCCACGCTTTCATCTCAATACATTTGGAGAGGTAGAACCGAGGTGGTCAGTTAGGGTTTTAATTTCCTCAGGTAGTTGTTATTTGTATTGCATGTTTTGAGGAACGCTGTAATCATATTACATATTAAGGTTGGCTGTTTTAAAGGAGTTCTATCAACATTTTTACACAGCTGAAATATCACCTGTGGCGTTTACTGTACTGTACTATGCGCTTAAACAACTAGTGAAAGCTTTTACCCTCACCCAACAACTTCCTTAAAAAATGTGCCATAATTAAAAAAATCACTAATTGTGAATGTTCTGATTTTGCTCAATAGAAACCAGTTGTGTTTTTTCTTGTGAGATACTGACTAATTAGAAATGTGTCCCAGAAAATAGCTTTCAAAATAACTGAATGAAGATACCTATGAAGAATTCATGTAGCTCATCTAGAGATCACCTCCTCCATACTAAAAGAGTTCTGAGTAGTGCTGTTATAAAATCTTCAGCTTCAGCAACTAGTTGACAGTTGGCAAACACACCTCGCTGATGAGGGCTGACAGGCACGGAACGTTAATCCCGAGTTTCATAGTCATATATTAATAGGCTTCATTGATTACTGTAAGCAAATGTGACCCATAGACAATTTTGAACATCCAGGACTAGGACCTGAACCAACTAATAACCAGCAGCTGGCTTAGACGAAGAAATCTGCAGTGGAACAGTAAATATTACTGAACACAGATGGTAAAACCAGCTAAAGTTGGTGGATTGTCTCGGAAGACACTGGTGGAGTATACTATAACTATGGATAATTACGAATATGTAGCTAAGGTTGTAAGTTTCATTTGTGGTAGCTATTCAGAATAAGATTATTCAACTCACCTTTTAAATGTTAATTGGTGGATGGTGACTAGCAGTGAAATCCAGGATGCACATTTCGTCCTATTTGGGACTTGTCAGCTGGAACCTTGGTGGGAACATCATCACTCACTGGGAAATGCAAGTACATCCAGCCGACGAGTCTCAAACAGGACGAAATGCGCATCCTGGATTTCACTGCTAGTCATCATCCACCAATTAACTTCTAATTATTTGGCCAGACATCGTCGAAGCACCTAGACAAGAAGCCGACACGTCAACCTGAGACCAAGCACTTTGGTTGAACCAATCAATGGGAAAATCTAAAAGTGAATTAAACACCTTTTAAATGGGTCGTTGAGTGCACTGGAATATATTTATCCATGTATAATTATGTGGTACAGTTATCTTTGAAAGTGCATGGTCAGCTGGTTACACGACTACACATGAAAGTGCATAGTGAAATTTAGTGCGTTCAATGGATCCAAGGTAGATTCAGTGCAGGAAAACCTTATTTACGAAGTTCAGCAAGTAAGAGATTTAAGAAACAGACATCCTAAAAATCTCTATGGAACATTTTAATCACAGAATATCTATTTTATCATATTCCGTTTCTCATTAAATATTGCACATTACATTAATTTTAAAGATGTGACTTTTATTTGCCAATTATTACACAGTTTATAATTAGTTTCTTCCATCGTATTGTCGTGTACTTATTTATGTTAAAAGTATCAGTTTTCTTCGTCAATTGTTAAGCTTTTTTTCTTAATTTACTCTACACATCCCCAGGAGCTCTAAACACAGCATTTACAAAGAATAATGTGTTGTCAAATCCACCTGTATTTCTGTTTTTCTTGTGTAGATTTCACTTTAGAAAGACGATGTTTACAAGAGAGTACTTATCGTGAAATACGTAAATATTCACAAGAAACATATGGACTTGATGTCTGCGTAAGTAAAATTGCCTTTTTAATGGACGATTTATTTGGCATACATTCATGCTGTAAGTATACATCATAATAGAATACATAATTATGTATTCAGTTGTGGTGTTGCATTTTTAATTTGACAGCATAACTAATATCATACTATCGCACAATTCTACTGTCATTCTATGAGACCGGCAAATGTGAGGAGATGGATATTATAATGTTAGCTGATATCATAAGCAATTTCCTTTTTACATTGCTGACTAAATTCTATCAGTCAAGTTTGCACTGTAGTCAACAAGTTAATTGACTAGTTTTGAAATAATAGAGAAGATTTGTAGCTCAGGTGGATGATTTGCAATTAGTAGTGTTCTCTGAGCTGGTTGGTTTAGTTGCGGAGCTTTCTTCGTTCTTCTGGACATCTTCATCGCAATTTTTAGCATAAAGTGAACTGATTTAAATTCCCCTTGAGTGATAGAATTACGCTGAAGATGTTGTTCAGAAGGACGACGAAAGCTACGCAACTAAACCAACCAGTTCAGAGAACACTACTAATTGTAATTGACTGGTTATTGTGGAGCATGTGGGCTTACTGATTACAAATAAATAAGTCTAGGAGGAAGAAGTATCTTCTTTATTCAAAAAAATTAAAATGACCACCCCAATTCCCTTGTCAGCTCTGGCAACCATATTAATGGTGATGATGATTTCTAAAACTTTAAACCATGCAATTAGTTAGCCCTGTGCAAATAATATCAGCAGTTCATGCTCATTTTTCCGTTGCTTCATCGATTCTCCTCTTTAGTATGCCAACACTCTGTCCCGTATCAGTTCAACAGAGGCTTTACCAGTTAAGTATACACTCTACTATCATTTTTCATATTACACCAGACATATTTGTTGTTATAAGCCGTAGGCATTACAGTTATTGCTACAAAAGCATATTATTGCATTAAATTTAACCCTGACGTGCAAAAGTTTCCAAATTGGAAATTGCTCTGAACACTTGTTTATTTAAACTTCCTTTATGGCTCTCCAGGTAACTGTGTAACGACAGAAGACAAGGACCAGGGAACAGATCGTTTATTGAGAAAATCAATGGATATTTATAGATTTTTATGTACATTATTATTCGTTATTTTAGCAGAGAAGTAACGCCTTCTGACTGATTGTTTTCCTGTTGGAGATTATTCTGTCATCTCTTTGTTGCCATTTCTTGGACAGTCAATTGATAAATCTGCTAATCGTATCCGCCCACGCTAAGTCTGCTGTGCTTGGTTGTTGAGTTAGTCTTGGTTCTTGTTTTTTCTCATGACCCCTATTTGAGACGCAAAGATTGACGTAAATCGGTTACAGGATTTCATCGTGAACTGACATCGGTTAGGGGACCATTGGGAAACCTGGGAGTACTGAACAGCTGTTCATATCGTCCTAGTTTGGGACTGGCTCTTCATCAGTACACACCCACCAGGGCTCGAACCCAGGACTTTCCGGTTACAAGGCGAGCTCCCTGGCTTTCCAATGGTTTTCTAACCAATGTGAGCTCATGATGTAATCCTGTAACCAATCAGTCAAGCCCCTACAAAGCAACACTTGAATATTGACGTAAATTGATGTCTGTCAATTTTGGCTACCAGACAGCCCTCACCACACCTGGAATTCAAGTTCTTCTGTTGAAGCTATTAACAGAAGTTCAGTTGTTGTTTTCAGAGTCAGATTAAGAGAAAGTAAATTTAATGAAGAAGTGTTTATGCGAGAAACTTATATTAGCCTAAATCAAAAACTAGCAGTACAAATGTCATTCTTCTGTGACATAGTGAGTCATAGTGTTTAAATTTCACTCAACCTGTGATGGTGTGATACAGACAGCGTGTTCCAACGGAATATTATTCTCACATATTTCCACAGTTCAGTACTGCATTAGCAACAAAATACAAGATATATATATATGTATAAGTAGCGGTTTGATAACTTGAAAATGTACCTTGGCTTCCGTGTCTTGCCTTTTGCTGTTACTAACCTACTTTGAAACAGATAAAAACTCTGGTTGTGATATCCAAAAAATATCAATTCCCGATAACTGAGTTGCATCTTTTCATCCTTGTTTCATAGGTTTATTGATGTAGGCCTGATTTATTACTTTTTACGGTGACTTGTATGCTTGACTATGTATCTCTTCTCAAATCTATGCAGTCAAGGTGCCAATGTTGGACAAGCCTTCATTATCATTTCCGTTCGGGTCTGACTAAGTTCATCCTTTCTTCATCATATTATTTTCTCGTTTGTATATACAATTTACACTTGTTTCAAAATGCTTATTTATAAAATATTAGTATACCTTTATTTATCACCAATCTAACCATTAGTTTCAATTCGACAGTTCATTGATCCAAGACCACTGGAGGATAATTTGCCGTTAGAACAAGTCGAATATGCAGAGTTATTTAAAAAACTTAGTCATCAATACTGTCATAATGACTTGAACTGCTGTCCAATTGTAAGTTGATTCACAAGCTTCACTGTTTGTATATAGTAAAACCTTTGAACATGAAATAATTAATGTTACTAATCGGATGTTTATATAGCTGTAGACGCCACTATACAGTTGATTTTGAATTTGTTTCACTCAGAGTTATGTCGAATGCCAACTAGACCCATATGCAATTGTTTACTGATGCTGAAGATGGTGAAGAGACTTTATTATTATTATAATTATTATTATTATCTCAGTTTAACACTTCATAATATTGCTCAAACTAAAATACATGAAGTAAAACATGGAGATATGGTACCGGGTCATCAGCATTTGTTGATGGGTGACGTCACTCTAACATGAACCATGAAAGTATTTAATTGTCTTGAGTTTCGTAACTGTAGCTGATGTTAGATGATTGGAAGCAGTTTTCAGGAAGCCCTGGACTTAAACTGCATGCTTGTTGGCACTCATCGGCAAGGTATATTTACAATACTGAAGGAACTCCCTTCTGTGATTCCAACCTGATTCACCCAGTGTTGTTGTCAGTGAGCTATTTGGGCTCACTGTTGGCCTCCTGTAGGACTGTAGTGGATACTAGATAGTAATCAGTGTCATGCGTATAGCCCCTGGATATGTGCACAATTAATTCTAACTTATGTCTATGAAGCTAGAAATCTTTTAAAAACCCTGCTAATAAATAAGGACACTTAGAAAACTCAAAAAAAGTCAAGTGATTAGATGTAAGTCAGCCTGGCAAAGTCGGAAATACTCTCCTCTAATGGTCTGGAAATATACAACACCATTTTACATGTATTCAGAGTGTTTTACTTTTGTATACAATTGAATTTACAGTAGGTCTTCCTTATTTTGCTCTTCTAGTTTTGTTGAATCATAAGAGGAGGATCAATAAATTATTTTTTCAGCGTTCACAGAATTATTGGTCATCATTCAAGAGTCAGTTACATTACATGATTGTTATTGTTCCCTTGGGTTCCTAGTGGAACATAGGGCTTCAACTGCACGTCTCCACTCGCGTCCTCCTTCTTCTGCTGTACTTTTCACCTGCATCCATGTTAGTTAGTCCATACTCTTTCAACTCCTCTCCACACGATCTCCTCCATGTCACCCTTGCACTGACGACCATGTCCCACACGCCACTTGTAGGGTTCCTGATACTTATGCAGAGTGTAGCGACGAAAACTGATGTGTTATGGTTTGAACCCTGGGAACCAATCTTCACGTTCTACTGTTTACCAGGAATCACGCCCCAAACACTTCCCACAGACAGTCGAAAGTGTAGATGACCTTGACTCCACTCAAACAAAACACCAATCGCAAGATAACACACTATCAATATCATCATCATAATGATACATAGTCTAGGAGAAAAGACGGAAATAACTACAAATTTGCTCGAAATATCCAAATAATTACGATTAATATGGATAACAAAACTCATAGTTCAGCGAAGAGGTTCTTTTCGGTTGTACAGTTGTGCAACTAAGTGAATGAATTCTCCGACACTAAACTCTTCGCTAAACTACGCTTTTTGTTTCCTATTAGTGTCTGGAAGCGGATTATTCATGAATATCGTGAATAAATCGTTGTTGAAGAATTTTTCTAACAATTATTCTGTTACACAGAGTAAATTGAATTATCCGTCTAAATAGGATCTTTGTAAACGAAATATTTCATGCGTGATGAAAGCCTTCATTAGTTACATAATTTTCTACTTCATATGGTGTCTCTTATTCGATGAGTCACCTACACTGTTATACTAATAGATGCGATTCACGTTGTGCAATCAGAATTGTTGTAGCACACTGTCTCACCGAAAGATCAGTTATAGTTTGACATTTGTCTCACTTACTTCAAATCAGTAAATTATTATTATTGCTCCCTTGGGTTCCTAGTGGAAAATAGGGCTTCAACTCCACGTCTCCACTCGCCTCCTCCTTCTTCTGCTGTACTTTTCATCTACATCCATGTTAGTCCATACTGTTTCAACTCCTCTTCACACGATCTCCTCCATGTCACCCTTGCACTGACGACCACGTCCCACCCGCCGCTTCCCTTTCGGCCTGATTCCACTCGAGCGGTGGCCTGACGCGCGCGCGATGTCACCCAGCGGCGGCCTCCAGCCTCAGCGAGTGTCCAATCCATCTCCATCCACTTTCTCCTGCATATTTGTTGGTTGGCGATTGGTTCGTGTTTTGTTTGTTTGTTTGTTTGTTTGTTCCCAGTCAGAGTTGCTTGTTGGTGATTCTTTCCGGCCCAGCCCGGCCATCTGATCTTCAGTATAGAGCCAGCGAAGACAGTTGTTGGTTGGTTGATAAAGGTCTGGTCTGCAACAGGCTGGCTGTTGGAAATATTCTTTGTCAACCGCCCGCCCGCCCGCCAACTTTCTCATCCGATCCGTATAGAAGAACTGACTGACTTGACGCGGTTTGTATTGAAAATCCGACCGACGGAATTTTGTTGTTGATGCTGGCTGAGTGACGAAGATTTCCTTCCAGATTGGTTGTTTCAGGTTGATGAATGTGTTTCTCGCTCGCCTTCCCGATTCTCACTCGATTTGACATCCTCGTCCGTTCCGACTTCCTGTAGTTGAGACAATGCTCCCTCCCTAGATAAGTGAGTGAATGAAGTAACCTCTTTCAAATCCCTCTTGTTGATGGTTGGTGATTGGCGCTGGATGTAGCTGTTGTTTTTGTTGTTGTTGGTGGTGGTGGTGGTTGGTTGGTTATTTTCATAACTCCCGTCTTGTCTATGTTCACCTGCAGTCCTGTCTTCGCCGGCTGCTTCTTCGACCAGTTTGTCGGTCGGTTTTCGCTTGTAAGTCTTCGATTTTGTGACAGTGACATCAAACATAAATCATCCACGCGTGAAATCCAGGTCTTCTAGGTTCTTCACGTCAGTCGGTCCAGGATATCCCTCCCTGTCTTCTTGTTTCCCACTCACTGTCTGACGCATAATCCAGTCAGTCCACCACAATTAGGAATATCATTGGTGGGTGATAATAAGCCAGCACCCTTGTCTGACTCCTGTGTTTACTCCAAACGCCTCACTGAGTTTTCCGTTGTGGATCACTTGACATGTGACGCCGTTGTCGTACAGCTAGCTGTTAAATGAGGTTGATGATGGTAGTACTTTATTTGATTTTCATTTTCATAACTTTTATAGTCACTTAAATGATGACAGTTCATAAGTGATTGCTGTTCTGTTTTTGTCATTCAATAGTGTGATCAATATATTTTTAATTGGAGCGATATAATTCTCACAATAAAATGAACTATTTTCAACAAAACTGTCAACTACATTTGTAACAACACATTTAAGCGAAGAATATTGTTTTCAGTTACATCTCATTAGGGTTAACTCTAATATACATAAGTTTACAAATAAAAATTCAAATATAAATCAGTCACTGTGTTTTGTCAATCGGATAATTAGATTGTGCATGTCAGTTGGGCAATTAGTCGTGATAATAATCCCGTCAATAACAAAGATGAAGTGTGAGACGATTTGGGATATGAAGAATAACGAAAAACAGCATTGATTAAACAAACAAATGTGTTCAGGTAGAAGTAGTTGATAACGTCTACAAAAAACAGATGGACTGATTAAGTAATGCTAGACTGATTGTAAGGGAAGTAAATAAAATGTGTTTTGATAAAGATATGATAGGGTTAAAGGGTGATAAGAGAAGGGTTGAAAACATAAATAAGAGATGGTGGGGATGCCATCAGTTGTTGAATTCAAAATAGGCCAAGGGAGAAATAATGGCTGTACAAACTTCTTTTGAATGCATAGTTTTGACTTAATTATTCGAATGCCGATCGCCTCAGCTGTGTGCAGTAGACAAATAAAAAGTCTATTGGAAAGATTCGGCGACATGCCATGAATTGCCTTGAAAGTTTTTGTTTTCTCTATTACATGATCCCTATCAACTAAATGTGACAAAATGGAGCTATGAGTTGTTTTTGTTTGTCCCTTGTCAAACTACATTCGTCTCAAATACACGTTTCCCGAAAGTCTGAGACCTAGTTATCTAAGGATGTTCTTTTCTTCTCTTTAGTGAGACATTTTAGTAATTAGAAAGGGTTGACAGCATATGAACTATATTTTGCGGAGTCTCTTCAGACAAGAATTTTCATTTTTATTCTGAAAACTAATGAGAACCACTGGATACATTTCAGGCTACTGTGATACATCCTATCCACTATTTAGGGATATAACTGGTTGTTACAATCCCAACGACCGTCCGGTTTGCATACAACATTTTCTCTCAAAAAATCCATTAGTGAAAAGGGGTGAATTTTTATATCCCAAGAATTTCGGATGTGATATTGACTGAGCAGTTTTCAAAATAAAATCAGTGGGTTTCTAGACATGTAACCGCAAACCGTACAGTAGATTTTGTGCAATCTTGAAGTCCTTCGCTGTATTAAGGTATTTCACAATACTAGTTTCTCTAAAAGAGATGCATTACAGGTGACACAACGAATACTGAATAAATCGTGGAAAATACTAACTAGGAAATTAGGCAGAAGAAACAAGAAGTTGCATAAAGATATCTTCCGGTGATTTCAGAAGACGATACTTCGGGTGACACGTAGTAATGCAATAAAGAAGTAATTTTAAGCTAAATCTGTGTTACAGTCGGTAGGAAATTCACATTTCTGCATGTGACTGGATCAATTAGGAGATGCTCGATTAAATTGTGAAGTGTGTTGGGTATACAGAGTGAGGTTGGCTCATTCTTGATACACAAGAGGAAATATCCTTCTGTTTTCCAGTGAAGAATTATTTGCTGATCTTTGTATGTGTTATGAGGTCAGAATTAAATGAAATCATTCACATTCTTAAAATACTTAATTAAAGCACTATATGCCATCAATTATTAGCGTATAATATTTTATGATTTGCTTCTAAAATCCAAAGTGTCAGGATGAAAGATTATATGTGGTTTCAAATTCCCTCCTCTTTACACAGATATTACTTGGACAGAAGTGTGGTTTGCCCCTCTTACCAAAAAGGATTCCTTCCAGCGTTTATGAATGCATTACAAATCGTATGAAACAGAAGGCTTCCAACCCATACTATACCATCCTCCAACATATTGACTTAAAAGATTGGTATCATTTAAACTGCAATGTAGTTGGTGAGCCTGAATGGTGTTTAAATCCGATGAAATGTCTTGAAAATACACTGGAAAATGAAGTGAGCCCTAAATCTTTTGATTCTAAGCTCTAATCTGTACTGATATGTTTTTTATTGCTTTTTGTCTTCAAGACTTTTATTTTCAATACAATGTGGGTAGCGTACTTAATTTAAGGTAAATAATTAATTCAGTACTGACATGTTTTCTGTTTGTTGGATAAGAAATACGTAAGCACACAAAGAAACCTGTACATTCGTTTGACTTTTGAACGGCTAAGGTGAGTCGGTAATACTTTTAAAAATTGCTTTTATTTGCTGTTCATCTGCGATAAAACAGCATAGTTGAGGAATACATGATGCAAGGAAAAAGTACAGTGTGCGTAACCTGCATAACCGGTCGTTATGGGCGATACCTTCAGTCCTAATAATTCATTATCGTACCATAAACCACAGAATATATATATATATATTAATTAATTGTTTTAATCTGTACACATTTTTGAAATCAGTGTACACCAAGTAAAATTAATATTTCGGCAACATGCGAATATGGATTTATTTTCAGTTTACAAATCATAGTTAAAGGGTTTCATCATGACATGACATCGGTTAGAGAATCATTGGAAACCAAGGAGTACTGGGCAGCTGTTTCGCCATTCTTCATCAGTACATGCCCTCCGGGTTTCGAGCCCAGCAGCTTACGGTTATAAGGCAATCTGTTAAGTTTAGCTGTCAGTTCATGATAAAATTCTGAAACAAATCAAATTCCTGTAAACCAAAACTTCAGTGTCAGTATGATGCTCACTAGTGACTGGCCTTATTCAGCTAGGGTAGTTACGTGGCTTCTAGTGGGAAGTCATGACTAGTGAGGTCGAGGTGAGGAAAAATACTCGCCATCGGTGACACTTGCTAGTTGTCACACCATATCATGAATTCTCAGAAGTTGGAATTTATGGACTGGACATTAGATCGTGTCCCAGTGGCTGAATGGTCTACGAGCTAGCTGGCCTTGTAACCAGAAGGTCCTGACTTCGAACCCAAGTGGGCACGTACCACTGAACATTCCCGAACTAGGTCGTAACAGCTGTTCGGCAATTCCATGTTTTCTACTGGTTTTCAAACCTATGTTAGCTCATGATGAAATCCTGAAACCAATTAAATCAAATCCCCGAAAAAAGAAACCTGAAGAATTAAGTTGTATAATTTACACTACTTATAAGTAGACTAAATTGTAAGGAAACATTTTTGAGCAGTTTATACTGTTATTTACAGTTCTATACTGTACTTTTAATCATTATATTTGTATGATTTTTGTACTTCAATGTTATTACTATAATATAGTTGGTTTCCTTATAACATTAATACAGCCTTATGAGAATCGGAAGAAGATTATTGGAGAGTGGAATCAAGAACGGGATTTTATAGCCTGGATTTTCCATTATGTCGGAAATCTGTGTTTACATGAGAATCTGATAACGGAAGAAGAGTTTAATATGTTAATTTTAACAGGTAAGCTTCAAGATATTATTCTTTTGATGTTAGGGCAAGGAAAACTTTTGGTCCATGTTAATCACTGCATTATTATTATTCCCTTGGGTTTCGAGTAGAACATAGGATTTCAACAACAACAACAACACATCTCCACTTTCTTCTATTCTCTGCCGTCCTCTTCAGCTGGGCCCATGACTTCCCGTAATCTCTCATCTCCTCCTAACACTCCAGGGACGACCAAATCGTCTCTTCTCATTCGAATCCCACTCGAGCAATGGCCTGTATTGTGCATGATGTCATTCGACTGCCTCCTGAACGTATGCCCGATCAATCCATCGCCATTTTCTCCTACATATTTGTTAAGCAATAGGCTCTTGAATAGTTTGTTGCCATAGTTTCGTGTTGCTAATTCTTTCTGACCAGCTGGCCATTTGATCTTCAATATGGAGCCAGAAAAGGTGGCAGCTGTTCATAAAAGTCTGCAGAGGCCTGTTGGAAATGCTTTTCTTGATAGGCTGGCCAATTTTCTGACGCGTATAGAATAACTGATTGACTTCAAATTTATGTTGAAAATTGGTAGTCACTTTATGGAATAACTTTATGTGTATTCTGTTAATATATCTAAACATAGAAGACAGGGGTCTTTGATTTACATCATGCAGATATTTTCATCAACTTCAAAATTTTTTAACAGATTTTCCCCCTTAGCCTACTTTTCAACACCTTAGTTAGTATGGTAATAGAACAGCTAAGAATTTCGTGCAAAGCCATTTGTGTTTCATCAGAAAATATTAAAAGGCGATGCTTTACTCAATAATATCATACTCAAGTATATTACATTTACTTGACAGGATCGGATATAATCTAAAATACCTAAACAAAAAGTTAGTTTTAACTCTGACACACACGAATAGGTTTATGATGTATTTTCTTCATATTATGAACGAGGTACTTTTCTCCTTGTCTTCTTGATAATTTGGCGAATATGTAACATTGAACTGCATAAACTGCTTTGTAAACTAATACTTAAAACGGTATACTGTCTATCTCCTTTCAGTTATAAAAAGTAGATAACGCAATGATGTTTTTATCACTATAATAAAATCCATTCCAATTAAGTCACGTATACAAAAAAGGGTGCATCGGTGGTATAGCGGTTAGGACGCTAGCCGACCATGCACATGGTCCGGGGTTCGATCCCCGGCCGATGCACACCTTTACCTCTCTAAGCCAGAAATAATTCTGGTAAAGAGCAAGGGTTGGGCATGAGGCTAGCAACCCCATCCTGTAAAATAAACTCTGCTACAGAAACTTCAAGCTACTAGCTTGAAGCCCTATGTTCCACTGGGGAACGTGAAGGAAAAATTATTATATACTATACAAAAAAGGAGAGAAATTCTTTGTGTCACCTACGACTTAGATAGCTGATGGTGGTCTACCTACTTCTGCTGATGAATTCTAGAGTTCCGCGTGATAGTATACAAGCTGTATTTTGGAGCCATCTATCCTGCTTGTTTGAATCATAATTCTTTTTCAAGATTTTAGGTCACTGTACAACATTCATTTAGCATCAGCATCATTTTGAGAAAAAAACATTGTAAGCGGAAATACCAGTGAACAAACTATTCGTCCTTTATCGCTAACATTCCACGGAGCTGCTAAAAGAACCAATACATGTATTTATTAAGGTGATCAAAAGGCAGTGTAACTAAATTAACTTTCAGGAACTAATATCTTTAAATTTAGTCAGAAATTTGATTGTAACCTTTATTTACCTTTTTGCGACACAGTGAATAGTAGCTTCATGATAAACTTCGCATTTCATAGGTTTTAATCTTTGTACCTGATATGTTTTAGTAATTTCGTGGTTTCCAATCTTTATTTTTCCGTGACACAGTTTCCCCCCCCCCACCCATCCGCGAGTCAGCTTGAGTAATTTTTTCATGAAAAGGAAGATTTGTTATATTTCAGGCGGATATGAGTGTAGAATTTTTCTGGGTCCCAGAACGTTCGTAGGATTGATAGTTTGCTGGTCTGTCGTTAAAAGTTTAACTTTTTTATGGAGGCTTTTTTTTACCTTAATGATTGCTGAATATATCCTTTTACTAAGGTCCATATTGTAGGGTTCCTGATACTTATGCAGAGTGTAGCGAAGAAAACTGATGTGTTATGGTTTGAACCCTGGGAACCAATCTTCACGTTCTACTGTTTAGCAGGAATCACGCCCCAAACACTTCCCACAGACAGTCGAAAGTGTAGATGACCTTGACTCCACTCAAACAAAACACCAATCGCAAGATAACACACTATCAATATCATCATCATAATGATACATAGTCTAGGAGAAAAGACGGAAATAACTACAAATTTGCTCGAAATATCCAAATAATTACGATTATTATGGATAACAAAACTCATAGTTCAGCGAAGAGGTTCTTTTCGGATGTACAGTTGTGCAACTAAGTGAATGAATTCGCCGACACTAAACTCTTCGCTAAACTACGCTTTTTGTTTCCTATTAGTGTCTGGAAGCGGATTATTCATGAATATCGTGAATAAATCGTTGTTGAAGAATTTTTCTAACAATTATTCTGTTACACAGAGTAAATTGAATTATCCGTCTAAATAGGATCTTTGTAAACGAAATATTTCATGCGTGATGAAAGCCTTCATTAGTTACATAATTTTCTACTTCATATGGTGTCTCTTATTCGATGAGTCACCTACACTGTTGTATTAATAGATGCGATTCACGTTGTGCAATCAGAATTGTTGTAGCACACTGTCTCACCGAAAGATCAGTTATAGTTTGACATTTGTCTCATTTACTTCAAATCAGTAAATTATTATTATTGCTCCCTTGGGTTCCTAGTGGAAAATAGGGCTTCAACTCCACGTCTCCACTCGCTTCCTCCTTCTTCTGCTGTACTTTTCACCTCCATCCATGTTAGTTAGTCCATACTCTTTCAACTCCTCTTCATACGATCTCCTCCATGTCACCCTTGCACTGACGACCACGTCCCACTCGCTGCTTCCCTTTCGGCCTGGTTCCACTCGAGCGGTGGCCTGACGCGCTCGCGATGTCACCCAGCGGCGGCCTCCAGCCTCAGCGAGTGTCCAATCCATCTCCATCCACTTTCTCCTGCATATTTGTTGGTTGGCGATTGGTTCGTGTTTTGTTTGTTTGTTTGTTTGTTTGTTCCCAGTCAGAGTTGCTTGTTGGTGATTCTTTCCGGCCCAGCCCGGCCATCTGATCTTCAGTATAGAGCCAGCGAAGACAGTTGTTGGTTGGTTGATAAAGGTCTGGTCTGCAACAGGCTGGCTGTTGGAAATATTCTTTGTCAACCGCCCGCCCGCCCGCCAAGTTTCTCATCCGATCCGTATAGAAGAACTGACTGACTTGACCACGTTTGTATTGAAAATCCGACCGACGGAATTTTGTTGTTGATGCTGGCTGAGTGACGAAGATTTCCTTCCAGATTGGCTGTTTCAGGTTGATGAATGTGTTTCTCGCTCGCCTTCCCGATTCTCACTCGATTTGACATCCTCGTCCGTTCCGACTGGCTGTAGTTGAGACAATGCTCCCTCCCTAGATAAGTGAGTGAATGAAGTAACCTCTTTCAAATCCCTCTTGTTGATGGTTGGTGATTGGCGCTGGATGTAGCTGTTGTTTTTGTTGTTGTTGGTGGTGGTGGTGGTTGGTTGGTTATTTTCATAACTCCCGTCTTGTCTATGTTCACCTGGAGTCCTGTCTTCGCCGGCTGCTTCTTCGACCAGTTTGTCGGTCGGTTTTCGCTTGTAAGTCTTCGATTTTGTGTGACATCAAACATAAATCATCCACGCGTGAAATCCAGGTCTTCTAGGTTCTTCACGTCGTCGGTCCAGGATATCCCTGTCTTCTCGTTTCCCACTCACTGTCTGACGCATAATCCAGTCAGTCCACCACAATTAGGAATATCATTGGTGATAATAAGCAGCACCCTTGTCTGACTCCTGTGTTTACTCCAAACGCCTCGCTGAGTTTTCCGTTGTGGATCACTTGACATGTGCCGTTGTCGTACAGCTGTTGAATAAGGTTGATGAATATTTGGGGTACGCCGTAGTACTCGAGTAATTTCCAAATTACTTCACGATCAACGCTGTCGAAGGCCTTCTCAAAGTCTATAAAGTTGAGGTAGAGGTTTGATTGCCATTCCATGCTTTGTTCTGTGATGATGATGCGTAGAGTTGCAATTTGGTCAGTACATGATTTGCCTTTCCTGAATCCAGCTTGTTCTGGTCGGAGTTCTGTCTCCAGTGCGTCCTTTAATCTCTCCAGGATGATGCGACTCAGGATTTTACTTGGCGTCGACAGGAGCATGATTCCTCGCCAGTTCTTGCAGAGTGAGTCCTAAGTCGCCCTTCTTTGGTAGTTTCACGAGGTAACCTTTCCTCCAGTCAGTAGGCACCTTTCCCTCCTTCCAGACCTTTTGCAATAATGGAGTCAGCATGTCTGCTGTAGTCTCTGGGTCTGCTTTCAGTGCTTCAGGGGGTATTCCATCTGGTCCGGCTGCTTTTCCAGCTTTCAGAAGCTTGATTGCGTTCAAGACTTCAGCTCTCGTTGGAGGATTGGTGTCAACTTGCAGTTGTGTGCGCGCTGTTGTTGGTATTTCTGGACGGGTTGCAGGTGATGGTCGGTTCAAGAGTCCTTTGAAGTGATCCGCCCATTGTTTAATCTGTTTTTCTTCCTTGGTAATTGGGTTCCCTTGGCTGTCTTTTATAGGTTTCGCTTGTGTTGGTCTCTTCCCGGATAGAGATTTGGTTATCTGATATAGTGTCCTCAGGTCCCTTTTGCCTGCTGCCTTCTCAGCTTCAGTGGCTAGATTGTCGTAGAATCGTCTTTTGTCCTTCCTAGCACTCTTCTTCACTTCTTTGTCCAGTGCTTTGTAAGTTGAGCTCAGCGTCTCCTTCTCCTGTCCGTCCTTGCATTGAATCATTTTCTCTTTCACCATTCTCCTCTCTTCTATTAATTTCCAAGTGTCCGTTGAGAGCCATTCCTTGTCTTGTCTCTTCTTTCTTCCTAGAACCGTTGAACACGTTTCGTTGAGAATCGCCTTCAGAGACTTCCAATGTTCTTCCACGCATGATTCTTCAGTGATGTCGCGTAGTGTTTCCTGCTTTGCTCTGACAGTTGCAGTGAAAGTGTCTTTTGTGGTTGTGTCCTTCAGTAATTGAGTGTTGAACTTGCATTGTGGCCTATCCCCAGCTATCCTCGAGGCTTTTAGTTTCACCTTGAAAGTCCCTTGTACTAGATAGTGGTCTGAACCCACATCTGCTCCTCTCCTTGACCTTGTGTCCAGTAGGCTCCGTCTCCACTTTCTTGAAATTGAGATGAAGTCTATTTGGTTCTTGGTGTTTCCATCTGGTGAAATCCATGTCGTCTTGTGTATATCCTTGTGTTTGAACACACTACCACCAATCACCAAATCATTGAAGGCGCAGAAGTCTGAGAAGAGTTCACCATTGTCGTTCATTTCGCCGAGGGCCTCACGACCCATGGTGAGTTCTCTTCCTGTGTTGTCTCCTCCCAGCTTCGCATTCATGTCGCCCATCAGGATTTTGATATCGCCATTTGGGACGTTGTCCATTATTGCTTGTAGTTGTCTGTAGAACGCCTCCTTCTTCTCTTGTTCTGAGACGTTTGTAGGCGCATAGCATTGAATGACTGTAACTTTCCTTCCTTTTGAGTTGAACCTGGCTGTCATTATCCTGGAGGAGATTGGTTCCCACTGCATGAGAGCTTTGGTTGCTGTTGGTGACATCATGATGGCCACTCCCTCGGTGTGCTCATGGTTGTCCTCTAGGTGGCCGGAATAGATTACTGTCTCTCCAGTAGGTAGTTGGCACCTTCCAGTTCCGTTCCATCTGCTTTCGCAGATTCCCAACACTTCTATTCTGTACCTTCTCATTTCAGCGGCTATCTGGGCAGCCTTTCCAGTTTCGTACATTGTACGAACATTCCAGGTACCCATCCTTACTTTTGCTTTCATCGAAAGAAGGCACATCGGCTGACTGGCTTCCCGAAGGCTTTCACCAGCCTGCGTCATTTCACTTCCCCGATTCCAGCGAAAAGTAAGGCTATTGCTTATGTTTTTAGAATTTTTAATATATTTATTCGTTGAAGTTTCTGTAGCGATTTGGTTGTTTTACAGGGGTGGAGTTGCTAGCACCACGCCCCAACCCTCCCTCTTTACCCGGGCTTGGGACCGGCGAGAAAACTAGTAAGCTAGTAGCCTAGCAAGCTAGTATCTGGCGAGGTTCAAATCAGTAAATACTTACATAGTAACTGCTACCAAGTTTTTTTATTTTTGATTACAGCTTGATTCCACACTGTATTTTCAGTACAAGTATGGAATTTTCAGCATCTGATATCGGTAGCCCAAATTTTGCAGGCTGACCATACACATCAGGTATGCGTCGACAGGAGATCGAACCCCGGACCATTTGCATAAAATATATGATTTGCCAACAAGACTAGTAATCCTTTTCATAAACCTAGATTTTCTGAGTCTTTTTTTCAAATGTGACATCAAAATAGCTTTTGTAAGCAGTCTGCATTTCGAAAAAAACTAACAGATTGAGCGAAGAAATATATTCCTTTTCAATTAGTCCCTCATCATCAGCTCTACACCAATATATAGTTTTTTGCATCAAATTTTTTTTACCAATTTAGTGGTTATTTTAGTTAATAGTTTTAGGTATAGGCGGGGGTGAAATCAAGAGGTCTGTATTTCAGTAGGTTACTGCATAGGCAGTGTTCATCGATGACTTTCACATACACTCAGAATTCATTTTTTCAGAAAAATCAGAATAATCATTATAATGAAACTTTACAGCTTGTTTGTTAAGTATCAACGGCAAGTGTGAACTTGAAAATAATGTAAGTTTTAAATATTATTTAAGTGGTGCTTCTCTTAACTCATCCAATATAGTATAACCTCGATAATTTGGTAAATGTTTATACTTATCTTCGTATACAATACAGTTATCGTTCCTTTGTTAACTTACAGTCTGACATTCAAGGCTTTTGTAGTTGATTATCTTGGAAATTGTTACTGAATTCAGGGTATGTACTGAACTATGTGTATATGCTGTAAACTTGTGAGTATTTAGGCCTCTATGATTCCAAAGTGACTTTTTGTAGTTATGTTCACTTAAAAAAAATTGACATTCGATTACAAAATATCACCAAAAACAACAACAGTACCAACTTTTGTCTTCATTCCTTTCAGAATTCTCGTCGACACTGTCTTCCTTGATTAAATCAACTGATGTAAACTATGAGACACGCATGAATCACCAGTTGCAAACAGAATTTCAAAAGATCCCAATAAATACCGACTGGATATTTTCAGATCCAATAGTGTTGCATCGAGATATTATCGATATCCAACATTTTGTCCAGAATGAACCGAATGTGGGAAAATTTATTGATATTGCACCAAAATTAGTATCTGATTCTAGTGCAAGAACAGTAAATGGCGTGAATTATAACGCCTTAAAACATCAGCCTGTAGTTGATCAGCTACTTCAGGACAATTTGCAAATTTTAGTGAAACAGCTAATTCAAAAAATCACTTACAGTAATGTATCATATGAAGATCAGGCAATGAAAGTACTCTGGAGATCACCTAATGGCATTGATCAAAAGGTATTTTGTTTTACGGAAATGAAAGTTTCTAAGCTGGTTAATAACTCCTATTCTGTCGGTATTTTTTCAAGTTAAATGGTAATGCATCTGTATAAAATATGTATCTTGGTTTTGTGACTACGTATGGCTTTAGATAGATGAAAACTATCTACTGTATTAAGTTTTCTGTACTAACTGGATAGGAGATTGCTTACCGGTTCAAAAACAGTATTGATGACAAGTAATCTAAAAAGTGTTTCCAGTTTGATTCATTCATACACCTGTATAGTTTAGTAATGATGATAGATTTAATGTCCGAAGCCTCTGTCCCTGTTTACTCACTAAGAAATGCTGGCAAATTTGTCTGCACCCATGTAGTTTTACTTCAGTAAATAACTTCATAAAACAAGAGTGTAGACATCCAAAGGGTAAAGTGGAATTAACTCAACAATCAAATGAAATACTCTAACTTACAATGTTAATCCAGTGAATAGCTATCAATGCCACTCATAACTTGGATTGTTTGTTTAAAGATACGCGTTTAAAAACAAAAATATCTTTATGTGATCCGCCTTGACATAAGCGAAACAGTTTGGATATTGTCCAGAGTTAAAAGTCATGTCTAGAGTGATGCTGTAGGGTAATCTAATGCTATGATTATGTCGTAAGTGCTGTTACTGTAAACGCCCTAAAGATGTCAGTATATAAAGTGATTACCAGTGTTGATTTGTACCTCTGGTTCACTATTGTTGATTTATGCAAGCCGAATTTATCATTCTTTGTTGGCATATTAACTTCTTGAGTGAATGAGTCGATACTATCTTGAATGATCTAGTTAGCAGTGAAGTTTAGGATGTAAGTCTTGTTCTTTTTTATTTTCGCCACCTCTATGAACCTGCATCTCACCAAGTGATAATATCTCCACCAAGATTTGAACGCACCATTCAACGTTTCAAATGTTAAGGCAACATCTACAAACGTCATATACCATTAGATTAACCGCTTGTGCAATGGGATACTTGTGATTGGTAGAACGTTGCAGTGAAGCTAACTGCCTTATTCAATAGTCTGTTGAAGACCTAGTGGAATTTATTCACTTTAAAACTCTATTAATGGGAAAGTTCTCAGTGGTCCCTGAATATTCGTACAACATTAATTTCACAGTAAAACAAACTTATGTACATCATACTGTTTTTTGATAGTTCGCTGAACATGCTTATCCAAATATGTCATTTAGTCAACAAATTCCAACATAACGTGTAATTAAATTTCTACGCAAACGTTTCACTTGTAATTTTAGTTTCATTCTGATTATCTCAATGAGTTTCTGACACGTATCAAGAAACTTGCATGTGAAGCGATTGACAGAAGGGCGAGTACCAAAACAGCCTTGATGTTGCCCAATTTATCCGTTGGTCTCTTGGAGTCGCAGAATGATGAAGTAGATATGCATACTCCGGATGCAAATGAAAATTTAGACAGTCGAAACAATGCGTCTTTACCAACAATTATCTTGCCGCAATTACAGAACAGACACACTTATGTGGCTAGAGAATTTCAAAAACGTATCAAATTGTGGGATAACGTATGGAATGCGCTGAACTATGTTAATTGGCTAATACCGATTGCCAGTTCGTACAGAAATGAAATAGAGACCTTATTGTGTTACATAGAAGATACTGATCCCACAGCTCAGGTTCCAATGCTAGTTTACAGCACTTCTGAAGCCTCGGATAAGCTTGACGTAGAACAGTTTTGTTTGGCGAATGCTGTAGCTGCATGCTGTTTTCAAGAGGTTAGTTCTTTCTGTTCGTTACTATATGATTTAGTGGAATTTCACAGTCTTTAAAGCTGCACAGGTTGAATTTGTTCTGCTAAATAACTGTGCGTGCACTAGTCTGTTACTGAAAACTTGGAATTAATTTCCTCCATCCATATAAACGTCAAGATTCTGTCAGCTACCAATTATTAGTAGACTCTTTGATTCATGTCATAATATCCACTTTATATTGTATATGTTATTAAGCCTGTTAACTGACCAATTTAATGTCTGTTACCTGGTTTTCTCCAGGTAACCTGTGAGGATTAAAATGAATTTATTTTATTCCTGAGCTTCCTTAGCGTTTAACTTTCTCATACATCTCATAAAATTCTGCTGATGCGTTTGACTAGGTTAATAACCATAAAATCAACATTAAAAGTGCTGTTGTTTAAGCCGTGTTATCTGTTTCGTTAACCTCATCCAGTGGTATCTTAATTTATGATGTTGGTTACCTTTATAACTGGTCGAAATGACACAAGAAAATGTTTTCAAGAGTACGTCGAAAATTCGCATGTGATAAATGTGACATTAGAAAATACATTAAGGTCTCTGTCAGCATTATGAATTCTTTTTCTCTATTATTTATGTAACTGAATTTGCATTTATCTAAACCTAAATGAATGATGTTCGCTGTTTCCCCGTCAGAGTTACACCACCGCCATTGTGATTAATTTTCTAGTGTTGGATTGCAGAGATTCTGTGTTATGGGTTTTATCACGAGCTGACATTGGATAGAGAACGATTGGAAACCAAGGTGTCCCGGTAAACTGTTTCGTTATAGTTTGGGACTCTTATGCAGTACTTACCAACTGTGGCTCGAACCCATGTCCTTACGCTCACAAGCCAGGTTCGTAGACCATTCAGCCACTGTCGAAAGCTAAGCTATAGCACTAATACTAATGCCTGTACTCTAATCTTCTTATTAAGGCTATCGTTACTTGATGAAGGTATTCTGGAATATCGAAACCCGAAAAATTGTGAAAATTTTCAGCTTTTCCATGGATTAACAGTATACTTGGATAATACACATAAGTGCTTCATATATAGTGAACGAAGGGACTAATTTGGAGAGTGAGTAGACATGGTTTGCAGTTTTGTTTACTAAAATGCAAAACTGTTATTTTTTTTTACTTAGTTGTGATTGAATACTTGACACGGATTTCAAATCAAGTAAAGTGAAACTTATCTCTTAAATGACAATAGGCACATAGATATTTATCGAAACTAAAGCAGCAATTCCCACTTAAATAAAAGTGGCTTCTGAAAGAGTTTTGAGTGACCCACCTACCCGGGACAGATGTTTCTGCCTACCAGGTTGTGAGCCACAGTTATTATTATTATAACAGTTGATGTCACTTAACAGTCTTTTAGGATGAAATAGGCTGGGTGGGCCTAGAACTTTGAGAATAGTGCCTGAAAGTCAATTCTTATCTCAACTTGAAGTAGTCCATCCAATATATCTCATTTAATTATGGAACTTGTGTATAAGGTTTGGTGCTACACGGAGGTGCAATGTTCAGAATCAGTAACTGCGGACTCATGTTTAAGAGGCGTAGAAATGTTTCTAATGTTATAAATGTATTCATTCTATATCACCTCTGTAATCCTGAGGGTTTTCATTGAATGGATTCGTCTTTCCTCACATTCATGTTTGTCCATTGTGATATCATTATATTTCTATCCCCTTATTTTCCTTGTAAGATCTTTCGAAGTTTGTTGATTTTGAATGATTCACTTCTGTGAAAAACCTTGCATTAGTAGTTTGTCATTCACACGAAGATCAAATTTTCGAGTAAGCCAGGGGTAAGGGATATTGAAAATGTCATAGTTGGCTACATTTTTTAATAAGAAGTGTTAATAATGAGTATTCTTCTGATTTTTAGATTTCAGCTTTGATCATTTTGGATATTTACATTACCATAGACATGCTGATGTGTGGTTCATTCGAAATGGTAGTCCTCTAGGAATTATAATACCACAATTCTTATTATCACAAAAAAAAAACTAATCTCTATCATTATCCACAACTCATGTAAAAAGCAAGGAGCAATACAATGGTTTCAACAAACCATCAATTATGACACTGATGTTTTGGGTCAAATGTGGAGTATTCGCATCTTCTGAACTAAGCCTAAAGTCATGACTCTTAATCTGGAGCTAAAATTTGTGTCTAGGTTATTCAGATGCGTTCTGCTTTTACAGAAAGACTAGGATTAAGAAAATTTTCCCGAAATTTCATTAGACTTTAGCAATCATCGCATCATGAGATAACATAGGTTTGAAAACCAGTAGAAAACATGAGAGTACCGGACAGCTGTTTTATTCCAGTTTGGGAATGTTCACTAGTATGCACCCGCCTGGGTTTGGAGCCAGGACCTTCTGATTACAAAGCGAGCTAGCTCGTAGACCATTAAGCCACTGGGACACGATCTGATGTCCAGTCCATAAATTCCAACTTCTGAGAATTCATGATATGGCGTAACCACTAGCGAATATCATCAGTGGCGAGTATTTGTCCTCACACTCGACCAGCTGAACCTCACTGGCCATTACCTATCACCAGTACCCTGGGTTCAAATCTATGTGGGTGCCTACTTCTGAAGAGTCCCAGACTAGAGCGAAACATCTTTCCAGTACTCCTTGATTTCCAATAATTCTCTAACCGCTGTCAGCTCATGATGAAATCCTGTAACCAATCAAATCAGGCCCCTGAAAACCAACACTTGAACATTATACCTTTTGTTCCGTAAGCTTCAGCAGATTTTTTATGACAACACACTATAATACTCATTAAAAGCAGACAGTTAAAAAGGTAGTAATACGTGGTAATCGCATCACATTAGAGAAGGGGAACTTAAGGAAGCTGAGACAGCATTATCCGCAGTCTTGCAATCAACAGAATTTATCACGTTTCAATTTTTTTTCATTCTAATTCTTCTCTGTAGACACAAAACCGTTTGTCTATGAAGTCCAATGAGTGCATAATACTCATTCGAATATACACAAGTCCAACTATTATTACAGACGCTTTGCAAGATTTGGCCGAGCAAGTTAGCTTTGCTTTACAGATCAACTGCAATTTGTTAGAAGTCACCACCTTATCCTCCTTCTTGCATTCATTATCATGTTTAGAGGAGAAATATACACCGAAATCAATAGTGATCATCATTGGTGGCATAGACTACCTTGAAGCAAACGAATATCAAGATTCTTTAGAAGGACTTCTACCTATTCTACAAGCAAAACAACTACCAAAGCGTCTGGCTAGTGGAATAAAATTGATTTTATCTGGAAATCTGAAAGTGACTAAACTTAAAGAAGGTTCAAAAGATGAAAAAGAAGCAGCTATAGAAGTCATCGATGGTATTTTACTGCCTACAACCAGTCTCAATTTAGAAATAAGTTCAGACAGTTTGTCAGGAGGATTCTCAAGCTGTATACATAATTTAACTAAATTAAACTATTGTCTAACAAATGATCAACTTATACGTGTTCATGATCTATTCAAACTGGCCTCTAAACACAAAGATCTCCCAATTCTAGCTTGTGCTGCTGGTCTATGTCTGTTGCCAAATCTAACTTCACAAAATATGGAAGTAAATCATCTTTTGTCCAAGCTAGTCCATACACACTTTAGTGATTTTATCTCCAACTGCGGAAAGTATTTTAACTACGATTCAGTTAAACATCTTGTTTGCTTGCTCATTTCTGTGAGTAATAAAAAACTTATAGCCCCAGGTATGACTCTGAATGAATTACAAGAAATCCTGAGCTTATCCGACAGAGCTTTTTCAGGTCAAAATGATGGAAAGTGTTCACAGAACACTGTTTCATTCTATGATACTGCCAGTTTATTACTAATGTTATATTCCTTCGAAAAAAGCTTGACTGCTCGCCTTGGACAACATCATTTAATATGCTCAATGGATGGATTCTTTGTTTATAAACTCTCTGTTATGGAGAAATTGGATAATAAAAGAGCAACTATAATCAAAGATTTGTTAAAGGGCTACTTTTTAAATGAACAGTTTGATAAGACGAAAAATTCTCCTTTGATGAAAGAGCAAAACACTTCACCTCTTTCAGTCTACTTCAAAGCTCCTTATATAAATGACTCATGGAACTGCTCACAAGATAACTGTGATTCACGTATCTTGATGTACAATGTTCGTTATCTTCGACATTTACCATTCTGTTTACTAAACTCAAAAGATTTCAATGAATTCAGCTATCAGACTGTTTTTCATTTTGATTGGCTTTATGGAATGATTTATGCTCTAGGTGTTCGGCCAATATTAGACTGCTTGAAGGTTCTTATCGATATGTTATCCTGTCTCGATAACCAGTCTAATTCATCAGAAAATGCTATGGCAATTAGATTTGAGGCAAGTATTATCCAAAATATACTTTCAGGCTTAAATAAAAGCTTATATAATAACCCAGACAGTTTGCCAACAGAAATGATTGGCTATCTGCTCCCGTTCACCTCAGGTATCGTCAATGACGAACAACAGAAGCTCAGTACTGGAAGGAAATCACTGATCGACTTGCTTGTAAAGCAGTGTGAAATAAAAGTTGTTGAACAGAGTAATCTACTGCCACTGTTCTCTTATCCGCTAACTCCAGGTAATTCTCTTCTTGGACAAATCATGTGTCCAACACCTTTATTGAGTTTGCATAATTTTAATCAAGGAAGCACTGCACAGAAACCAAATAACCAAATTTTGATCAAGTTAAAAAATGATCCAATGATCTATCGGTACCACTGTGAACGGGATGAGGAAGTTCCTCCGTGGAAATCAAGCTCAGGGTATTCCTACTTAACACCAAACGGTAAATATGCTATTGTTATAGATGAAGAGAAAAGAGATACTTTGAAGATTCACCAAATCGACATAGATATCAATGGTTGTGTGCCACTGATTGGTCAAATCAATGCAGGTCTATGGATTAATCCGTTGTGGTCGAAGCATCCCCATGACGAAAGCTTGAAAATGGAGATTATTTTCTTAGATATCACAAATGACTATGTAGGATTTATTGTGCAGACTAGAAATACACGTAGTTTTTTAAATCCGAGTGAATACGTTGAATCTCTGGAGGAATATGGAGAAGATGAACATTTTGATAGTAATACCAACGGCAGCATTAATCCTAAAGTCAAAGATGAAGCTAAAGACATCACTAGTAAATCAGTGTCATCCCACTACCTTCCTGAAACCTTAGCTGCTGGCACAATCAATCATGTGGTCATTTTTGAACTGATTACAGGAAAACCTCTACACCTTTTAAGTCCAACACCATGTGCTACATTGGTTAAACTTGTACAGACGAATCAAAATAGTGAGAAGAAAAAGTTATCAGATAATAAGGACGATTATGATGATGAGGACGAAAATCTACAGAGCGGGGTTGATTTGTTTTTCATTAATTCATTTGACCATTTACTTGGATTTCACATGAAATCTGGTGAACAACAATTTTCAGTTGACTTGAACTTTGTACCGCGTAAAATTGTAGCAAGTAATGATAATCAACGTTTGTTTATACTGGACAGTAATAACCCGTGTATTTTACAATTGCACATCAACAGACTAGGCCAAATCAACAAATCATTTCGTATTTCCTATGATGATTTGATCACTAAAGATAATATTATTGATGTTAAATTGTCAAGATACTACTCATTTCTACTGCTACATGCTAAAAAGAATGTACTAGTCTATGATTATGAGAATGATGCTGTATTCGTTCATATTACACGTCCAGCTGGTATACCACGAGAATTTCGTCTACCAAATTCAAAGTATCAAAAGTTAGTTTTCACTGCTGTTGAATTTGCACTGAATGATCAAGTTGTATTGGCAGCAATTTTTCGAAATATTTTAATCTGGGATATACGCTTAGGCGTACAATTGACAACACTGACCTCATCTGTTGGAGTTATTTCACGTCTGTTAGTCGACTCTTCTGAACAACAGCTAGTTGGTTATATAAGTACATCGAAAGTTTTAAACCTTTGGAATTTACCACTAGCCCTTACAAATGCTGCATTGAAACAAAGTTCTAATACATTATCCAGCTCAAATTTGAATGACAGTAATAGAATGGATTGTTTAACTAAACCAGTCGATCAAATGCGCTACTCAGAATCCTCGAAGATATTGTTAGTAACATGTCAAAACAGTGATGAGTTGGGTGTATTCAACTTACAAAGTGGACATCTCACTGACATGTTTACACATAATGGCATTGTTAAGTCAGCTGTACTAAGTTCCTGTGGCAATTATGCTTTAATTGGCTTAGCTGTAGACATGCAAACAAAGGGGAATGCTAACCTAATCTGGGATTTAGATAAAAGATCGATAGTTGCAGAATATGGTGAAATGGTTGGTTTTCATGTTGGAAGGGTTAAACATGGAAGTCATTTTTTCCATTTAATGCCAAAATCACCCATGAATAGTAGTGATAATCAGAGGTTTTCTTACTCAATCTTAGGTGTGGAAGTTACTCAAAACAATAAGAAAGAAAGCAAAGCTGTCATTAAGCCTGTTGCCCTTAGCAAAATATCGTCTATAGCAACGGGTTCTAAACCCTTTATGACATCAGATGACCAGCATTTAGTTATGATATTAGAAAGTGATGATCAACTAAAACAAGGCTTTTATATATGCCAAGAAATAGCATTCTGGAGCTTATATTCTTCTGCTGAACATGAGAGCATAGCTCAGGATGGTAAATTATGGTACACACATACAAAAGAGCTAAAGACCTTATTAACTGATAACATGGAGTATGGAATACATATACTAAATTGTGAACCAGTTCAAAATAATTCTTCTCAGTTTCTTGTATTCTTCACAAAATTCAATGCTAGCATAAAATCAAACCTATCAATTGACTGGAATTCAGGTGTTGGTCTTTCAAAAGGCATACTTTTGGCTGAAATTCTTCAAACTGATCAAGTTGGACTACCAAGAGATTGGATGCTCGTTGTTCTGAGATCGATTACAGGACTTAGTGAACAGTCGCCATTCAAATCTATTCACTATTCTTTTCTGAAGCATGAGCTATTCGACTCTTTCTCAGGTCATTATTATTTTTTACCTTTAGGGATAAGACATATTTCACGTGATTACTTCAACCATAACAGGTCTAATTTCATGGTAGAAACTAAAAACTTCACAAGATCTGATTCAGTCAAGTTCCATGGATGTATACTTCATGATGATCTGTGCATTTTCTCACACTACTCCACATTGTATCTGATTCAACCGAGAACAGCTGAAATATTTACATTCATTGATGTTCATCATATTATAACATCAGTCAACAAAAACATTCCTAATGATGACATTCTTTTCGTAGGAACAACTGATGGATTTATTATTTCATACCAGATTATTAAAAGTAGTGAGGACGATTCAAATAAAGAAGATAACCTTTTAGTAAAGCTGAAGGAAATTCACCTCAACCTTCACCCAACAACAGATGAACATCTTGATAAGAATGTAAACTTCCATACTGCTCGAATGAAAGCAAACATTTCGAAGCAACTGAATCTATTAACTCAATACACCCCATTAAAATTTATGAAACCGGATGACTTCAGATTTTACCAACAGTGTGAGAATTTCGGAGAGAAACGATTAAAAATTCACTCCCTTGTATAA